TATATATATATATATACAGTATAACCTGGATATAAGAGAGATTTTCTCTGGTCCCAAATTAGAGCCATACTTACCTAAACAAAATAGACCAAGTCCAGATATAAGAGACTTCTTCTCCAGTCCCGACAACTCTCTTATATCCGGGTTACACTGTGTATATATATATGTATACACACACACACACATATTCATACCTACATGTATTGTACATACACAGACATTTGATTTCCCAAACTGTTTCTCTATACTTTTTATGAATTCTCTTTAACTCTTCTGCAAACGACTTTTCTTTTTCACCTGTCTTTGCTATTAAATTGTATTCCAATTTGCTTGATGATGAGGTTTTATTCTTTATTTGAAGCATGTGAAGGATTATTTGCCAAATTATCTTTGACCTTTAAACAAAAAAAAAATAAATAAATCACCTTTTAGATCTATCCAAGTACTTTAAAATAGCATATAATTTAGCTTGCTTTGTAGATGAAAAAAAATACCTGGGATATTGATAGTTAAACTTTGTGACTATTTTCCAAAATTCACTTTTTGTCAAAGAGTCATATCTTGGGAACCCTTTGACCTAGAGATGTAAAATATGTACCATTTAATTTCTATTATGAAGCTCTATATTTGAAAAATGAGTGATGGTCAGACCATTGTTAATTTGACTCAGCAGCATTTTTTAAATTGAAATTAGACTCAGATTCATTATGCTGAGTGTGTTGTTTTGTAAAAGTTCTCTTTTGTATAATCTTTTATTTAAATTCTTTGCAGTTTTTCCTATCTAATTATTGTGGCAATTATTACAGGTGATAGAGTAAATTCTATCTTCAAGTTTTAGCTTATTGTTATTATTTTTTTATTGTTTTAGAAATAATTGCAATAAGTTTTATATTAAGCTTAGAGGAGTTCTTTTCAATTGCAGTTATGATTGAGTTGGTCATTTTAATTAAAAGAGGAACTAAAATAAAAGTGTATAGAAAGTACTTTAATTGCTAGATCATCCTCTGTGTTCAGCTTCTTACAAACATTTCATCTTATTTGGCAGATCTTTTATCATCACATTGTGAGATACTAAATAATAAAACTGCTAAACATAAAAGGAAACAAAACGAAATTCTTAAAAAAACTATTTTCTAAAAAATTTACTATAGTTACCATTCTTATTTTCTGATAATGTTGTGTATAGATTGTTGTGGGTTGTAGCCAAGTGAAAATGTATCAGAAGGTAATTTATGTAAGGCAAAGATTATGCGTGCTTATTATGCATTATCCCACAACACGTAGATCAAATAAAGAATATAAGGACAATTTGCATTGCAAGAAATTACTAAAAACAGTGGTTAGAGATCCAAGAATAAAGAGATTTTTATATATACAATAGATACACATGAAAGTGTAGTGGACCGTGGCTGTTATGTTGTTGAGTAGATGTAGAAGAACACATGTGGGTTCAGATTTTCCTGCTAACCAGTCCAACTACATGAAAAGGTTGGACTATTAATTAAGACCAAAGAAGGCAAGGAGAAACAAACAAAACACAAGACCGATAGTATATGTATACAAATATATATTAATAACAAGTTACATGAAAACAGTTACAAAGGACAAAGTGTGTGTGTGTGTGTGAATATTCTGTATGTGTGTGTGTGTGTGTGTGTGTTGTGCTTAGCGTGTTCCCACGCTATCCCTTTGTTAGCGCCTACATTTTGAAGTTGTAAGCTGAAAGCCTGAGGAAAAAGAGAGATTTACCTCCAGGTGGTGACGCGAAGGCCTGAGAGAGAAAGAGGAAGAGGCGAAGGGTCAGCGTCTATTTATAGCAGCGAAGAGCGACCCCTGGTGAAAGGGTTAACGAACTAAAGGAGAAGTTAACTCCGACAAAAGGATAACAGAATGTTTGTTGATTGTGTCAATTGCGACAAGGTTATAAAGAATGTTCATGCAGAAATTTGGTCAATAAAAGTTAATGGTTTTGATTTGTTAGTGAAATTAAAATAATTTGGTTTCTGCAAGGAAAAATCTCAAATGTGTTCATTCAAATATTAGTGTGTTACTTGTTAGTTAGAATTTAAGTTGTAAAGATTCGTTTGCCTTTAACTGTGGCTAAATTGGTGAATTGTACAATTACTATTTGTGTAGTGAAAACGTTCACTTTTTAAGTCAATAGTAATTTGATTACTACGCGGACAATAGTCGATTAAGTGCTGTGTTGAGTTTGTTGAGAATTTTGAAGTGATGTTGAGTCAGTAAATTAACACGCGTGGAGTTTGGTAGCATCTCACGAAACTTGACTGACTGACTTGAAGTGAGTCATGCGGCTGTTTATATAGAATTTGGTGTCTAAGATTCAGCTCCAGGGAGCTTTGGCGAGAAAAGGATCTGTTTCGACTTTGCTACAGTTTAGTGTTTCTTAACGAATAGAAGAATTTACTGAAACGAAGTGGTGATTGGTTAAGACTTTTTTTTAGGGAAGAATACATTTTTCTGAAAGAGGTGGAAGGCTAATGTGGAAGATTCCAGAAGATGTAGATTTTTTAAAAATTGGCATATTTATGCATATAAAAAAAATAAAATAAAATTTTTTTAAAATTATGGGGTGTTACAGTTAATTGTAAGCTTTTCCATTTATGATTAGTAACTATAGTTTTTGTTTAATAACAATATCACTTGACCAATACAAATTAATACAGGATTTTAAAAGATTTTAAAGTTTATAAATTATTCTAATTAAATTTTTGTAAAAAACGAATAGTTCTTGCAAAAAAATTCCTTATAAAAAAAATGTCCATTTATTCTTATTCATAAAAGTAAAAGTATTTCTAATTAAATAATCTTTAGTTTTTTTTTTTTATTGTCTTTTGATTCAGAGCAGAGATTTTCTGTAAATGAGGATCTCGTTTGACTCAAAACATTTAATGATTTAAATTCTCCGAGGACATGTCTTCATACATAACTACCATTTAAGCGCTACAAAAAAAAAAAAAAATTTCTCAAAAGTTCATAAAATTAAGTGTGTGTGTGTGTGTATGTGGGGGGGGGGACTGATGTATAAAAAAATTTTTTTACCAAGATTTCCTAAAAAGAAATATTTCAAAATTAATTCATTTGGGAAAAAGTAGTGAAAGTTTAATTGAATTCAAACAGTTACCTGATTTTTTTTTTTTTTTTTTTGCAAGAATTTCCAAATCCGTGTATTTTTCACCGCAAAAAGACGTTCAAATTTCCCATATTAATTTATGGCCACTTCGTTGATGACGCAAGAAAGACATTTTTTTAACCAAAATTTAGGTTTTATTAATTTTTTCTTCTTTTTTTTTTTTCATAAAAAACTCTTTGTTCTTTCCTCTTATAATAACACAAAGATTTTAAACGATAAAAGTTGTTTTTTATTAAGTTGGGGCATTTTTTTCACCGTGTATTTTTTTTTTTTTTCCAATTTTTTTGTCGAATCCCTGTGGATACCTAAACATTGGCATTCTGCTAAAAGACATGGACACTGAAGACGAAAGAGAACGAGGTGTATGAGGAAATTTCGTATAAAAAGCACAAGACGAAGGAAGGAATATATATGGAGTTTTGTCCTCAAGAACCACATTTTAGTTTTTAACTAAGCGAGAGAAACTTGCTTGATTCGGACATGTCAAGCTTGGCTCGAACCAAATGAACACCGTTGGCATTTTAATGCAACATACAATTGAAGGGAAATGAAAACACGGGCGATAACGCAAGAAATGGCTTGATAATAATATCAAAGGCTGGACAGGGATGAATTTCTACGACCTCCTCACGACAGTTATCAATAGAATAATCGCTTGGAGGTTGTCTGTCTCTTCAGCGACCACCTCGACATGACGATTACCACGTTGAGTCGAGGAACTGACAGTTAAACATTATCATCATTAGCAATAAGATATTAAAAAGTGACAGACACTAACTTAAATAAAGAATAGAAATATTAAAGAGGATGAACATTTTTAACATGATAAAGACAAAAAGATTACAAACACACGAAGCAGAAGTTTTTCAAATCCAACAGGTTTGATGAGAAACGGCGGGAAAATATTGACTGAATCAGGCTAGACTCCACTCCTGTTAAGAAGAGTAGTACCCAAAATGTAGAAATAAAACATTTTTATGGTCAAATATGAAAATTAAGCATTTATGATTAAATATTCGATGTTGTCATTTCTCGATGCTTAGAATCTAGATTTTCATCCCAGGCCAAACCAAAACATTTTTGTTAGTTTTAGCAGCACCTACGGAACAAAAATGAAATTGAAAGCTTAAACACACGACGCAACATGTACACACACACACACACACACACACACAATTTTAAATTTCCATATATTTTATGTCGCACAAAGATATTTCTTTCCCCTTATCAATAATAATAGTTTCTTTTAATTTAAGGAAAAAGTGATTATAATTACAATTCATTCAAGAAAGACTTCGACCGTCAACAAAAATAAAATACAGGGTGGTCTGAAAGTCTTGTCACCTCTACATAGTTTTCTCTTTCAGATGGCTAGCACAAGACAAGATTGGTGGTTTTCATACAAACCTTCGAGGTGCGACGACAATATCAATAAAGGTGAATAAACTGAATCCAGTACATGTTTCGTATTACTACTTGTTCTTCTATTGTTCTCATTACTTTTAGTTTCTTTTGTTTTTGTTTTTTTTGGTAGGGGATGACAAGACTTTCGGAACACCTTGTAGAGCTGAATGGTTACTTTAAAGCGGATATTTACAATGAATTTATAAAATGTTATTAGTAAAAAAAAAAAGACGACAGTAGTGTCAATAAAAATGTTTGTTTTTTTTTCCGTATTATTTTATCGAGACCAAGTTGCTAGCTAATTCAAATAATGAAAACGAAAAACTTAGTAATTCACTGTTTATTTACCTTTTTTTATATTTTCATACAGTCTTAAAAATAAAACAAGTATTCAAGTAATTTGCCAACAACTATAATTAAATTAAAAATAAATGACACTTACATTCAACAATTCCTCCATCTTAAAAAGTAAAAACACGCTGCTTCTCATAAATTTAAAAATATCACCGGTGTTGACTGAAAATAAGTTCCTTGTCTACATTGCTTCATTTGAAACAATTGCGACAAGGTCAAAGGGGAAGTGAGGCAACACTGGTCAACACTTTCTATAGACCTAGCTAATCAGATTCATGACCTATACATTCTTTACAATTTACTCATTCACCACAAAAAACTCATCCTTTATCATTTAATTCTACACATACCAGAAATTCACAGGGAACCTACCAAAAAACCGTTGACTTAAAAATTTCATTATGTACAAAAAACAGTTCAAATGTTTTGTTTTTTTCCCCCAAATATGCACATGAAATGAATGGGGCGGGAGTGAACCCAGGAAACGAAACTAAAAAGGTATAACAAAGCAATCAACCTAAACATAACATAATAGATGTTGTAGGACTCAACCACATTTCCTTAACTGCCGTAAATACTTTCACACTTGCAAGATTACCTACAATAAAACGTCAAAATTATTTTTTGTAAATGTTCATAATTTTGTTATGGAAATCGTAGGCATATTAAAATGAAATCAAATATTTTTTTAGTAAACTACATAAAATTTTAATTATTTGAGAAAAATAGTTTACTTTGCGTCACACAAAAAAACTGAATATGAATTCAATTTTAATTTTTTTGTGTGTGACGCAAAAAGCTGATAAATATATACAAAAAGATTAGGTAATTGATCCCAAAAGATGAGTTGAACTGAGCCTTTTAAAATTATTCTGCATCGTGCATTATTTTTACTTTTGTATTTATTTTGTACAGTAGTTTAAGTTTATGACATGAACAAATGAATTAAATCTGTCTGAATGATTAAAGTAGGTAAAGAAAAATTTGGCATGTTTCGCTTTAGCTTTCAAAATCTTTGAAGCTTCACCAGACAAATGAGAAACATGTCAAATTTATAAACGTTTTCTTACTTGTTCCTTGTTTAATCTGTTTTAAACTAAAAGGAATCTCTTATACGTTAAAAAAAAACGTTGTTGTACACAAAAATATTTTGTCTTCAAATTTAGGGTAATAAAAATAATAACGTTCGCAGTCTACTAAGTACTGGATTGCCTCCCTTATATTGCTTTGCCTAGCCTTATATTCTGAGAATGGCCAAACTTTGAAAGAAAAAAACAAAAACAATGTATTATTCGTGAATAATAAAATAAAACGCTAGTTGAAATATTTTTTTTTTGCTGCATTTCGAACTTTGGTTTTAATTTCAGCATCAAAGGACGACAAACTTTTTATTTTATTTTAAGTATTTATTTGTAAATTATTTAGAAAGTCTTAGTCACGAATATAATTTATGGAAAAATGTGCGTTCGTAATTTGAGAATTGGTAAAGTTTCGTCATTAGTCACAAAAATTGACTTTTTTCCTTTAATTATTATTATGATGGAAAAATATACTTTTCTTTAAGACGCAAGCGACATAATTTTCTGTATATAATTTTTGATTTTTTGTATTAAAAGTTTAAAAGGTTTCGTTTATTGTGTATAAATTAATTTTTCTTGTCAAAAATATAATTTTTAAAGGATATAAAAAAATGAATTTAAATAAATGTTGTAAACAATCATTCGATTTCATAAGCGACATTTTAACACTAGCTTTCATTTGGAGATCTAAGGTGTTGTTATCTTGAATTCTTTTTTTAACGTGTGTATTTTGAAAATACTTGTTGAGTGATATCTTTGGAATTTTATTAAGTTAAAAACCTTTTACTTTTTTCTTTTGAAGATAACACAATTCACCATGGAAGATATGTTAAATGTAAGTTATCCAAATATCAGAATTCGTTTTAAAAGAGAAAAAAGTACGACAAACACACAGCATGTTCGTTGTCTTTCTTAGATGTGGAGTTATTTGAAATAAATATTTATTTGTGACCATTATTGTCTGTTTAAGTTTAAGAATTTTAAGTTATTTTTAATTTAGGTATAGCAATAATAATGGATAAATAACGCAATTTTAACAATTTCCAAATTTGATCCCTATTTTTGTTTAAAAAGTAAAGTATTTATTTAATCAAACAAAATGAGTCGAATTTAATTTAAGTTTAAGTAAAATAAAAAGTTAAAAAAGCAAACTGTAACTACTCTATTAAGTCTACTTTGTACGCATTATTTTTATTTTTCCCTTTTTTATATGTGCATCTCTGTGTGTATCATTTAATTTTTGATTTCTAGGAACCGCCAAGGACTTCCTAAAAAAAACGAAAAACTCATTTTTAAATAATTTATCTTTGAAGCTAAATTTGTGTTTTATTTCACAGATGATCTTAAAAAGCTAACCAGTATTAAAAAAATTAATTTCTGTATGTAAACAAAGATTTTACAAGGCATTTTTTTACAAACATTGGCACAAAAAAATGTAAACAACAAATTTTAAAATAGTTCCCTCCACGAAAGTCGCTAAAAAATCAGGATACCGTCATGAACAAATGCCACAAAAAAAAAAGTTTTTTTGTTTTTTTTGTTATTTGATTAAATTTTTTCCTTTTTTTTTTTTTTTTTTTTTAGAACATTCGAAATGTTGATTAAAGAATTGGCAGCGGTTGTACCAAGCAAATTTTAGCCTTTTTTGCGGTGACAGACACATTAATTTGGAAATTCTTGCAAAAATAAAATAAAATAGTTGTCGGATATTAAATTTTCAGGACTTGAATGAAATTATTTTTAAAAGTTTTTCATCTATTTTTCTTTTTTTTTTTTAGAAAATTTTAGTATTTTTTTTTTTCTTTTTTTTTTTTTTACGTGTTTTTCTCCTTATTTTATGAAAACTTGAAAAATTCATCGAGATATTTTTTAGTGACTATATTAGTTAAAAGCAGAATTCTTTGAAGAATTTAAATCACCGATTTTTTTTTCTGCAAAATTTGAACCCCTCTTACCAAAAATGTTCTGAATCGAAAAATAAAAACCGTAATAAAACTAAGTAAGACATTGAAATGGATAGCGGCTCGGATTGAGGAATCGTAGAGCCAAGTTCGAATTCCAGTTGAATCCATTATATTCACTTACGTGCTAATACCCTTAGGAATGGTATTAAATTATTAATTAATCCTCTTCTCCCTCCCCCTCCAGCTATGTGTAAAAATAGCAGGACAGACCGGGTTATAGCCTTGGATGGCAACTGGTCTACCGCAGAAAGAAATGGCAACCTACTGTGGCGAAAAATCAGCCTCGTCAGTCATGTATCGAAAGATAAACAATCGCCTAAGCGTGTATCATGCATGGCACATAACTGACTGAAGACATTATTTAATTAGAGAAGAAAGATTGTAAAATTGTTTTTAAAGACAATATTGTCTAAAGAAAAACTTTTTTTTCGACCAAAAATGAATTTTTATAAAATTTGTTTTCATTTTTTTACAATTTTAAATTGAATAATTTATGAAGTTTTTAAATCTTTTAAAATTCATTTTCAATTATATAATTCTTTGAAAATATTTTTATTAAGTAAAATTATATTTATTAATCATATATGATAAAGCTTATTACAATCTGACAAACCTGAATATTTTTAAAAGAATTTCAATTTTTTGTGTGTGTGATTACGTAGAATTTCTTATGGATGTACAAACCAATAAATCTACATTAAAAGGTCACATGTTTTAGAGGGTTGTACCCCCACCCTCTTACAGAAAAAAAAATACTTTATCACCATACTTAACTGTGAACATGTTCAGCATAAAATTGATTAACACGGCAGAAAAACAAGACCCCATAGTTATGAAAAGTTTGTATACAACATTTTCTGCTATAAGTAAATAATATTTGTTTCAAATCAGATTAATTTAACTTTAAATTTGCTAATTTCCCTCAATTAACGTTTCAGAAATATATATTTTTTGCAGGATTTCAAAAACCGAGAATTAACTTTTTTTTACAAATCTGTCAAAAATGGCTGTTTTGATCGATTTTACTGAAAAAAACTATTGATTCCTATCAATATAATTTCTGTTTGAAATACACCACAGAGTATTTTGCTTATTAGAAATAGTAAATTTTAGATCCCTTAGCTTTTAATTAAAGCTTAAACAAAAGCTTCAAGAAAGATTTTTCATTTTCAAAAATTAATTTTAAACCTTACATATACTAAATTAGTGGAGGTTCCTATTTAAAAATCCAATATTCATTCATTCTAACTAGAGATATGTTTTGAAGTCATTTAGTGAATTCAAGGATTAATTAAATGGATTTAAACTTTTTTCTTAAAGCATAATGAAAACGTTTATGTACGCACGGTCGTCAATGAGGGTGTGGGGTCATAGGTTAACAACAGCTGTTTTATTCTTTAATCCCCCAACTTAAAAGCGAGTAAATAAAAAGAAGAAATATTGAATAATGTCAGTGCAATAATGAAGAAATTGGTATTTATGTTTAATAAATTATCTTTAAATGAATAAACTTCAAATAAACAATTTTTTTTTTTTTTTGGCAAAATTTTTCAGTTTAATACATTACTTTTATTTTTTTTATTATTTTCTTATCTGTTTGATGTCATGAAATATTTAATTTTCACTCAATAAGGTTTTTTTAATTATTCCGAATATAAGAGTTATTGAATTATCATATATTACTCTTTTGATAGGGGATGAGTAGTCGATTAAATGCAGTAATTCAGAATTATTTCCTTTTTGAATATCCATACAAAAAATAATCTAACAATTGCTAAAATGAAAAAAGAAATTAAAATCCTTTTATAAAAATTAAGACTTGAAGATGACATCAAACTTTACATTTTTTGATTCTTCAAATGTCATTATTTAATAAAAAAAACTCTTGTTATGAACAGAAACAGGATGGATTTTAAAGTATTTTTCATTTTTTTTAGAAATAATTATTCTGTATATTTTTCTGTTCAATCTGAATGAAAATAATGTATTTTTATTAAATTATGCAACCGCTGTCAAAAAAAAAATATTTTTCAAATTTTATCAAATTAATTTTGGTAAGTTTTTAAGTTCTTTGTGTCAAGTCATTTTTTGGACTACTTCAACCAATCCTTTTATCCAATCATCACTTTTTAAAATAATAAATATTACCAAAGACTGATAGTAGTTAAAATAAAAACAGTGTCATGTAAAAAGGTGTCCTTTTGAAACTTTTTTTTTTTTTTTCAGGCATGAAGGTCCATGTTTGCCAATTAGTCTTAAGTGCCATCATTCGTATGCAGATTAGTCTGTATTATAATTGCTATGCAAATTTGTCAAAAAATGGCATCTGTGTAAATCAGACACATAATCATAATGAAAGACAAACTTAGTTGCACTAAATACACACCTTATCCAGGCTTTTTTATCCTATTGGTATTTTCTTCTCTTACAGTTTTGATTTATAATTGTTAATTAATTTTCAGAACAAATTATTGTCATATCTTCTATATGTATCTGGTTGGCTAAAAACGGGTTTTTGACTTTTATTTCCATTCTCGATATGGAAACGTGGCAGCTCTCATGCTGGTCACAACGTACTCTCTTATTCTATTCTCTGAAAATTAGTGTTTAAACCTATATCTTTGCAATTTCATATATATTTGGTTTATAAAATTTGCATATGATGTTTTAATATGATTGTTGCAAAATGGTTGTATTTAAAGTCTTATGCGATTTATTTATTCAGTTGGACATGAGCAACCTTCAGCTGAAAAATGGAATCACTTTGGCAGAATTGAGTTCTGGTTCTGAGTTTGAACTACAAAAAGAAGACACTTGTAAGTGGAAAAATTAAACCATTTGAAAACCATTGTTTTTGTTTTTTTCACCCTATAAATTGAGCATAGAAGATAAAAAAAAATTCCTATAGACCTCATTATACAAACTTAGAATAAACATCCTTTTTATTATAATTTTGCTGCATAACTCATTATAATCAAGCAACTTTTTTTATGCATATGTATTGAAGGAAATGATGACTTACTCTGTCAAACCAAGTGAGAATGTGTCACGCATATTCTATGTTGCTCTTGTTTATATATGAGAATGTCATGCAAATTTTTGGTAGCACCTCAGTCAATCACTGACTTCTCGACCCAGATATAAATAGGTGCCACATGTAGCTGGTGATTTGACTCTATGAATCATTAGACAGTCCAAAGGGGAATTTCTTTACACCAACAGCTGCTGTATTGAATTTTATCCGCTCAAAATTCTACGACAGCATATTAAGCAAAATTATTTTTTATTGCCTGCACAAAGCTATATAACTGATAGCAGACAGCAACTGAAAAGGATTAAGTGTTCTTTTCTGTCTCTAGAATTGTTCCGCAACACATGTGTTAAAATCCTCACAGTATTTAGTATTGTCGAAGTTATCACTGACATTTTTTGTTGAGATTTACAAACTCTGTTTCGTTCAATTTCACAAACCAATTGATTAAATTTGAATAAGCTGGTTTGCTTCACTGTTTAATAATTTCTTTAATTTAATTTTATAGAATATCATTGTAAACAATATTTTTTTTTTAAATTTCTTGTTTTTCCTTTTTCACAGCAAATAATAAATTCTCAAGATTTTTTAAGCCTAGCTACTGCAGAGGGTGCTTGATTGGGCCTTCAGTTTGTTCAGAAGTTTGAGAGTCGCTAAGTCTTTGCATATTCTCAACATTGGAAGCTCTCTTGGCTGCCATTTGATCTGGGTTTTCATTTGCACATGACTTATTTTTCCTCGCAGCAGCCTTGGCTCTTTTGATTCCAATCTGGTTGTATGCTGGCAGAGATTTCTTCTTGTGAGGCTTACTGCTGCCATATATGATAGGCAACAATAAACTACAGAACTGAAATTGATCACTGCATTTAAATATTGCATTAATACTCAAGCTTACCTTTTAAAAGTTCAACGTTAATTCTTCTGCCGCCATTTAATTTAAGGACAATTTGATGTATGTAGGTCCTTACTTTCTGTACAAACAATTATTTTTATTTCATGGGTGACTTTCACTGAATTTTGCAATTTTGTTTATTCCCACATTTCCAAGTTATAAAAATTATCATACAAAAAAATCATGTAAAAAAATAGCTGAAAACAATTGCAGTAATGAAAAGTTGGGAATCAAAAATTTCAGTATTACAGGTCTGGAATGTTTTTAATTTACACACAGTCAGCTTGATTCCAAAATAGTATGATATGTTGGGCCTCTAGGAGTAAAATTCAAAACACAGACAATTTTATTTTGAAACACTAATTTGAGAACAGTAATTTTTTTCATTTGAAATGAACTATTGAAAGTTAGAGAGTTGTGTCTCTTTAAATTGAAAAAGTGTGACACTGACACTTGCATTTATTATATAGATTAATAAATTGAAGACAATAACCCTTTTTATTATTAAGAATTCATATAGTTTTCATTGAAAACTATAATTGTATATGTATTTTGTAGGTACTCTGAATTTTTGTTTTAGTTGATAGAAATTCAAATTTCTTCATATAATACATACATTTGTTTGTATTAAACTATCACTTGTCTAATGCATCCACTATGACTCTATTGACAAGTCATCTTACTTTTTATAGTTCAAGTAATATTTTTTAATCATTTCTTCTCAAACAGGGTAATAAAAACAAAGGTTTACTGAGGCTGAGAGAATAGTTTTCAAAACCTTATAAACTTAAGAATCTCACACCATATCAATAATAACCAGAATAATGTACTTAATTACAAAACCTTATGATTATGGTTGAGGAAAGTTGGCAAACGCACAAATGAATTGAAGATAACGAATAACATAGAAATGTCGTTTTATAGGAACTTTACATAAAAAGGGACATCTGGTGTCGGGGCAGATTAAGCTAGTATAGGGCCTGTAGCATATGTTATAAAGGGACCTTAAATTATGCATCAATATTAAATCTTAAATTATTTATTTGCCTAGTGATGGAGTTTATAAAATAAGTAAATATTTATCTTCTATCAACATAATTATGAAACCATGACTAGTGTCAAAGATTAACTGGCAATCTAATTTATATTTCTAAAGAAAGAAAAATATTTTCATATTAAAACAATGCGGTATCATAAATCTCCTGGTTTGTGTCACTTATGTAGTATAGTGTGAGAGGTGAAATTGTAAGCTTGGGTAGGATTGGTCATTTGGTACAGTTTTAGGTCTGTGTAAATTAAGTGTTAATTTTGATAAAGGAATTATTTGTTGAAATGAGTGATGCAGAGAAAATCTTTACAGCTCAGGTTTGTTTTGATTAGGGATATAACACGCACACTTTCAAATAGAATTGACGATGACCTCTGTGATAATCAGGTCAAATGAGGGTGAGATTCTGGAACATGAAAAATGTTCCACTGAAGGTAGATATGGGCAATACATGATTTGCTTGCCAGTGAGAAGAGCTGGGATGGAGCTTCTCATCTCCAATACAACACAGGGCTATTTTGATTGGACCACCGATCATATTATATTCTTGGGGGCTTTCCTTCCACTCCTTCAAGACATATGACACAAAACCATTGCTTAAGCATTATTATTGGCTGACCAATCTGGGCAGTGTAATTAGGGTTTGCACCCCCCATAATAAGCAGTCGCCTAGAGAGCAGAGGAGTAAGATGAGACTGGTCTCGCTTGCTAGTAGACTAACATTCTCCCTGCTGGATGACTGTGGTGCCTCAGTCAGCTAAAGTCCTGTTTTCTGTGTCGCTTTTTGAATTCCCTTGATCAACTGCATTCATTTAAATAGTTGAACAACTCTGGGCTGTTTAGTCATAACTGCAGCTGCCAGTCATCCTCTTCCTCCCAGCTTAAGAATTCCTTATATGGGGAAACTTCTTCAAATCCCTTTTGTTTATGTATTCATGATATTAATCATAGTACTGTAAATAAAAGTTGTTATTTTTACACATGTTAATGGGTGCTGTTGAAGATAATTTAGTTTACCGGCAACACTGGTGACTTTAGTCTTTCACAAGCATAGCCACAACAGAAAGGAGTCAAGCCTGATGTTTGCGAATTCTTCATCAATATTCCTGCGTATAGTCAAACACAACATGGGATGGGTGCAGGATTGGTACAGAGCGGACTCACCCTAGACAAACCAACAAGAGTAAGAGTGACATTCAGTGAAGCATGCAGCAACAGGGTCATATAATAAACAAACCCAGAAAAATGGGAGGCAAATGTTTCTAACAAAATATTTAAGTTGATTTAATGGTCTCAATTTAATGTTACCTGAAATGATTAATTAAAGATGCTGCTCACCTGACATATAGCATTCTGTCATGCATTGAATATTGTTGCCACATTTATTCCAGTGCATCTATGTATCTAGAGATTCTTCACAAAATCCAATGTTATTGGTCCTGACCTGGCATCTTGGATTCAATTACTTTCCTACCATTATAATATAGCTTCCCTTCACCAAATATTATCATAGCAACTGTTCTGATAAGCTTTCCTTTTTGATACCCTGACTTCGTGAATTTAAGCGCAGTACTAGATTGGCAGGTAGGTCTCATCATTTTACTGTTGAAATTACTAGATGTAATTGTAAGTTCTATGCTGATAGTTTTTTCTCCTACACTTCTTGTTTCTGGAACCCTCTTCTGGCTTTCCAATCAACTACAATCTTCAAAAATTTAAATGTAATGTCAGTCATCATTTTCTGTCTTTTTGAATCCTGTTCTTTTATTGTCCTTGTTGCTCAATGTTTTCTCTTTGTCTTGCATCTTAGTGACTTTATCTCCTTGCTTGAGATGAAATGATGAAACAAAAAAAAACATTAACATTGACACGTTGTAAGATGTTGATTTCATCAGAGAGTATTTAATGTGGAGCCTGTAGCATTTTGTTACTTGTGCTATTAGGTTAATCCGACAATGACCTGAGGAATATTTATGATTCCAATAAACAAGAATGAAATTAAAACATTTCTTAACTTTTCTCATATAAATTTTCTACTGAAGATGACTTTTATTGTTTTGAAATTGAATGCAGTTTTCACATTTCTTTTTTCAGTTTATGACATCAAAGAAAATGATCAATTGAACAAAGAAGAATTTGATCGAATTTACAACTCAAATTCCCATTCGGATGAAGAGGATTTAAATCCTATAGACTTGGCTAGTACAAGTTTTCAGGAAATAGCAAAGAATATGAAAAATATCTCTCCTGATGGAGGGGTCATGAAAAAATTGTTAAAGAGAGGCTATGGTCCACTGGTGGCTGAGAATTCAATTATTGATGGTAATATACTCAACTTCTTTTTTCTTTTTCTTTTCTTTTTCTTTTCTTTTTCTTTCTTTATTTTCTTTTTATAAGTACATAAGTTATATCAATTTATGCTTTTTTTTTTTATTTTTAGTTCATTACAATGCTTACTTTGAATATTCTGATGACCCATTTGACTCAAGTCATCTTCGAAACCAAAGTTTTAAATACAAAATGGGCTCCGGTAAGAAAATGGATTTGTGCATTTTTTGTTCTTTTATATTTTTGATGATCAAGAAGCAGAGAGTGATTTAGAGCAAGTGTCCTCATTGTAGATGGGCAGAATATCCGAAGAAAGAAATATTTTAAAATTCATACTTAATTCTTATTTACTAGCTTAAAAGCCACACTCTGAAACAAAACTAAATGGACCAGGTTGAACAAACAAACAGCTTGGAGAACAACAATGATAATTTTGAAGAAATAACTTTGAATTCCTCAACTCATTCCATGGAACTTCAAAACCTCACTTTAACTCTGATTCGGGTTATCAGTCCAATTCCGACCAAAAGACTGATTTGGGCCGAAATTCCAATTCAGGACGAAAATTGAGTTCTTCAAATCACAAACTCTGTGGAACTTCAAAACCTCACGTCAACTCTGCTTCTTTGTCATTTTCAAGAAATAAAATTGATTTCCTCAATTCACAAAGTTTTGGAGATATTTTAAACTGAATTTAAAACAAAAACTTTTAAAATCAGTAATATTTTTCAATTATTTTAAAATTTTAATTTTTAACTGTTCATCCAGACACAAATCTCAATGTTGGATGTTCAAGCACTAGTTAAAGGCCAGATTTTCCAGAATAATCCTGATTCCAAAAAGTTATATTATATCTATGTAGTGCAAGTGTGGCCAGAGTTAGAGGGGTTTCAAACACACGGACAGACAGACAGAATTTGCTGTTTGTTTATGTAGTAGAGAGATTACTGTACATATCAAACAAATTTTATAAAAATATGTCTCCAAGAAGCAACTTAAGTCAGTCAGATATGTGCCATGCGTTATATATGCTTAAGCAGTCATATATCTTTCAATACATGACAGACAAGGCAGATTTTTGTCCCACAGTAGGTTGCCATTTCTTTCTGCAGTAAACCAGTTGCCATCTAAGGCTATAGAACCTGGTCTATCATGCTATTTACCCATAGCTGGAGGGAGAAGAAGAGGATTCATACCTTTCCCAAGGGTATTAGCATGCAACTGAATGTAATGGATTTGACTTGAATTTGAACTCGGTTCTCAGATTCCTCATTCTGAGCCGCTTTCCATTACTCCACCATGAATTAAAACCATTTCTGTATTGCAATTTATTTTTGATAATAAAAAAACAAAATGTTCAGTTCTTCATATTAATACTTTGATATAATTTGTATTTTTCTTCTTTTTTTTTTTTTTTTTTAAAACAATAAAATTAATCTGAAATGGAGAATAATTGTCAAAGAAAAAAACCTTTTGAGGAAAAATGTAAATGAAAATTGGTCAAATTTTATTTACATTTCTGCCATGGACAAAGATTAAATTTTGAGTTGTCCAAAAAACAAACTATGCAGTCTATCTGAAGTTATTATGCAATAGCATCACATAACTTCACATAAACTTCATTAACTTGAATTTACTTTGAATAGTTTTTGTCAAATTTTAAACGACTGACACATCAAATCAAAGGTTGAGTTAAATTTTTAGTTATTTTCAATATGTTTTATTAAATTTATTGGATCTATTATAAAATCTAAAGTCTGAAGTTATTATGCAAAACCAGAAAATCACTTTTTACTTCAATAGTCAGTTAAGTGCCATACATGATACATGCTTGGGTGATCCAGTCTCTTTCGATTCCTGACTGACTAGGCAAAAGATTTTCCAGCAGTAGGTTGCTGTTTCTTTCCGCAGTAGACTGGTTGCCAACTAAGGCTTTAGAATCCAGTCTGTTTTACTATTAGCTGGGGAGAGAAGAGATGGATACATACCTTTCGCAGGAGTATTTGCATGTCAGTGGATGTAACGATCATGATTGGAATTCGAATTTGGCTCTCTGATTTCCCAATCTGAGCAGATATACCCGTGACACCACAACTCACATCTGGTACAAAGGTAATAAAATCATCTAAGGAGACACATTCTTAAATCCTTTTCCTTTGTTTCTAGTTCTCAAATTACTTTATATTTTCAACAGCCTTCTTTATCGTTTGATGATCTCTGCAAAGCTCCTTTTGATATACTCAATGTGGACATTTCCTCACTCAATGACTTTTTCTCATTTTCAGCATTTGTTAGAGCTTTTCCATTATTCATATTTCAACATATGGAAAAAAAAAGCAAAAAATAGTTTCTATTAGATTTCAGAGGCATTAAACTAATATTAGTTTAATCTAAATAATAACTTTAATAAAACATGTTTAAAATACCTTAGAAATTAATTCAAGCTACATTAATCATTTAAAATTTGACAAAAAATTGTTCAAAGCAAATTAGTGATTGAGGTTTATGGGATTTGCATAATAACTTCAGACTTACTGTAAGCTGTTTCTTAAAATAGTACTTATTGACAAATCATGAATAACACAGAATTTAAATCATCATTATCATCATGTCTTTATTTAATTTAAATTGTCATTATCATCATATAGTTGCTTTAGATCGTCATTGTTATTTTGTGTCTTTGTTTAGGCAGAGCTATTCCTGGCTGGGAAATTGCTTTGTTGACAATGTCCAAAGGAGAAAAATCCAGATTCTTGATACGACCAGACTATGGTTTTCGGGAAATTGGCTGTCCACCAAGAGTACCTCAAAATGCAACTGGTAAGAAAAATATATTTTTAAGTTTGTTATAGAATATTGTAATTGAAGAAGATATTTAATATGCTTTATTAAATTATTTATGATAGCATTTTTTGTTTTTATGAACAAAGTCTTTAAAAGGAATTTTATTGATATTTAATTGATATGTGAATTTAAAAACTAATTTTCAAAAAACAAGCATTACAGTGTAACCTGGATATAAGAGAGATTTTCTCTGGTCCCAAATTAGAGCCTGTGTTACCTAAACAAAATAGACCAAACCCGGATATAAGAGAAACCCGAATATAAGAGACTTCTCCGGTCCCAACAACTCTCTTATTATCCGGGTTACACTGTAATAATAAAAAAGAAAAGGCCAAGACACATTTCGGGCAAATTTTAAAGCAGACAAAATCAAAACTCTCTGGACAGGTTTTTAGTAAAAGAGGGATCCAGTCAACCTCAAGTATGTTCTAGTGGCACAAAGAGACACAGAGGGATGAAAACTTTTTGGGGTGTGTGGGTGTCATAATGTGTGGAATGGATTAATTGGCTTTACATTATTTCTTATGAGAATATTGGTTTTTGTGCATTTCATTTTTTCAGCAAACTTCATGGAACAGATTATGAGCGATAACCCAGGTTCCTGAGTGTGTGTGTCTGTATGTGTAATATGTATGTATATATAATCATGAAATGGATTAAGTCCAACAATTATTTAATATATTTTCTGTTTATATGTTATTTTTATAGATACAATTTATTTAAGTAAATGCTCTGTTTTTAATTAAACAGTATTAATTACATTTACTGGCCTGTATGTTCTAGAAATTTCATAGAAAATATGCATTCTCTTACAGCGATCGAACCTGTATTCATATACGAAAACCATCATTTGATCTAACATGCTATATTATTTTGCTACAGAGAAGCATCTGATTAGCAAAGTCTGAATTATTGTTTATAAACACGCAATCTTTGGCGATTTTTCTCAATTGATCATTTCTGCTCACAGTGAGAGAGTGAGAATATATTTCTTTTTCAAATAAATATACTTTACAATAGTATTACTTATTTAACTTCTACTTGTAACCAAATTTATCATTTTTACCTGTTACAAAATCTATGTCATATTTGTGTGTATCTAAAAATGTATTTCTGTCTGAAGTATATTTCTAATTTCCCTAAAAGCAAACAAACCAAATTTGATTTGTGTTGTTAAAACCTTGACTGGTTTATTGGTTGCTCTATATTACTCTATGTAAAAATGTTGCCAGCATTATTATTAAATTATAGATGAGATTAAATAACGAAATAATTTGACCAGCAAGTTTTTGACTTATGGCCTAATGTAAATTGTAATCAGCATTTGTTGTGTTTCTCTGTCCATGTTTGTGCCCATTTTATATAAAAGACTGATTCCATAAATAAAGCCATCATTAGTCGGAATAAGTTCTTTCTCAGAATAAAATGCTTTGCTTTTTGTCATATATATATATATATATATATATATATATAACCAACATTGTATAACAATTTAAATCTGTTTTGGGAGATTGTATCTCTTACAAAAAAGTAAGTGCATATGTTGACTTGATGACCCATTATCAAAACATCTTACACTGCAATTGTCGGATACAAGTTCTAATGCAAAACACATTCCTGTCCACCTTCACAATAAGGGAAAATACTTATCGACAAGACCAATATACTACACCATGAAAATAATAAAAAGAACCCCAAAAAACTTCACATTCTCAAGGCCCTTGATATCAAAATCAACCAACACTCAACAAAATTTATTGCAAATATAGCAACAACATATTAAAGTGCATATAATATTTATATACTAATGCCATTTTACATTTCTACCAATTCCTGGTCAGCTCCCGTATGTTGAAATGCTTTTGTAAAAAAATTCCATAACTACAACACATAAATTTAAAAATTCTAAAATAACTATAGCAAAGCGCATTCATGCATGTTTTTAAAAAATCACTATTACAATGGAATGCAAATTTTATCACAGTTACAATAGCATGTTTGTTATTGTAATTTACCCCTGGAAATGATCTAAGAAAAGATTGAAAGTACTTGGATTAAAGAAAATTATGACGCCTTCCTTGATGAATTTCATCTTGACATCAAGAAACTGATTAGACAACTGAAAAGGATCAGTATTCAAATAAATAGACACGATATGTCTATATTATTTAATGAAACATGTTCGAATGAAGATATGTTGCCTAAATATACAGATATGTAGAATTAATACAAATATAAAGTTTGTCACTTAGCTGATTAGTGCTCTCTTCAGCATCCCGACTCCAGAGTTTTGAAGCATTCACTCCATCCACTCGTCAGGAGGTATCAACAATTGACTGTTTATATTTCTTTTATATCTACACTTTTCATTGGTGCAAGGTTGATTTATCTATATATAAGAAAGCAAGTATTGATCTCATTAGCAAAACTTTTTAAGACTGTTACACTATTCTGGTTGTAATATATTTGCTAAATTCTCTTAAAAATATTTTTCAGCTCTGTTTATCATTGAACTTCTTAATATATCTGATCAAATTGGTATCAATGACTTTTACTTACTAAATGAGGTAAGTATTTTTTTTCTTTTCATTTCCAATTTACTTACTATGTCTACTTTTTGAGGCTGACTCAACTGAGCCATTCACCTTGCTTCCATTATAAAAAGAAAAGTTTAAAATTATGTATGTTAAAGTAATTAAAAATGTAAAAAATATTTCCAGTGTTTTTATAAAAAAACAAACCTCACCTAGTTTTCTACTGTGTCTTCAGTTTTTCACAAAGTTGCTGTTTCAAGCTTTTGTACCCACTTTTGATATAATTTAATTGTTTAACATATTTTTTTTTATTCAATATTTCATTATGAATCTTGCATGAGTAATATATATTGGTTGGATAATAGATTAAAAATATTTACTATTATATTTAAAGATTATATCTATCATCAAGCATTTTACTGTTTTTTTACTATGTGAGCACATTTTGTACAAATATTAAATTCAAAACTGTGCACACACACACACATATATATGTATGTATGTATGTGTGTGTATATATATATATATATATATATATATATTAAAAAAAAATCGATTCTCCCGCCGGTTTCAACGTATTAGGGTCAAGCAGATCAGTTTCCAGGAAGCTGACAGCCCGACACCGGCACATGAGATTCGATTATAGGGGTGAAGGTTTCGTGCAGGACCATCCACACTTTTTGAAGGGCCGAATACAGAGACCTGGTGCACTATGTGCCACAAGGTCCCCAAACACCCCCCCCCTCAGGTTTTGAATTCAGAGTTGTCCTTCTCCTAGACCAGTTGCCATCCAAGGCTATAGAACCCAGTCTGTCCTGCTATTTAACCCATAGCTGGAGGGAGAAAAAGAGGATTCACACCTTTCCCAAGGGTATTAGCATGTAAGTGAAATGTAATGGATTCAACCTGGGCTCTGCGATTCCACAATCCAAGCCGATATCCATTGCCCCACCGTGCCTCCATATATATATATATATATATATATATATATATATATAGAGAGAGAGAGAGAGAGACACACACACACACACACACACACAAGTAAAATGGTTTATCACTTAACTAATTGATGTTACTTTCAGCATCTCGACTCTAGAGTTTCATAAACAGACCCTCTGGGAATCACACTGACATAATATAAAATATCTATTGTGTTACCTGTCACCTGGCTAGTTGATTTGTTTCTTTGTTGTTGTTTTTTTTCCCCCTCTGCCAACACTCCCTTATAAGTACAGTCAACATGACTAATTAAGCCAACCCACTTTCTTTTTTTTTTTTTTTTTTTTTGCATATTTTCTTTTTCCCTGGATTATCCACAGTTTTTTTTATTTATTTTTTTTGATGCTTTAGGGTAAAAGTGTTATGGTCATGGGTATATAAAACTGGACCCCCATTTCATTGGCATTCTAGTCTGAAGATTGCAATAGCGTGAAACTTGTGTAAAAATTCAGGTTGTCCTTTGATAGGAGTTAACGTTGTGATATATATATATATGGATTATGAAAAGTCCAACAATTATTTAATATATTTTCTGTTTTATTTAATTTTGTTTTTTTATATTTATTTGATGTATTGTCTATAAAAATAATGTATAAACAGAAATATATATATATATAATGACGACTCTGTTATAATGTCTTGATAATTTTGGAAATAAAATATTTGTTATCACTTTGTTAAGCTGACTAGATAAATGTCATTCTGCTGGGGGGGGGGATAAGGAAAATAATTTTGAATTCAAATATGTTTTGCTGCAAGCATTTCTCTTAGTCTTGTCACATTTACTAAATAATTTAAATTGTTTTTAACAAAATGCAGAAATAGTTTTTGTATTCTTGTAAAATAGGTGTTCATTCAAAATACATTTTCTTTTGAAAAACTCTACATTTTTTGTGTAGTGGGGTGGGGGCTTGTATATTGATGAATGAGTTTGTGAATAAGTCCATTACCTAAGGATGGAAAATGTATCTACTTTTTCAATATAATCTCCTTTGTCAATGCACTTAATTCAGTGATGAATATTAACCGCACAGATTGAATATACAGTAAAAACTCTATTGGACTCTGAACTTATTGATCCATCCTGAAATATATGATAAGGTGCTGGAAAGTTCTCAGCCCAACCAAGAAAACTTTTCCACAAAATGTTTGGCATTTGGTTACATTTTGGAAAGTAGGTCAGGCTGAAAACTTTTTTTACCGCCTCTTGATATGGCAACAATTTTATTGTCTCTTTTATCAAAGTAAGTTCATATTAAAAATAAGACCTCTTTAGTAATGTAATCTGTACTAAGTTGATATAGATTTAGAGAAGACTAGCTTGTAGCATAAAAGCTGACCAACCAATTTACATTTTTATTTTTCCCCAAAATGTAAATGGATTATATTGACTTTCTCATTGTTGTTTATTTCTCTTAGAAAACACTGATTTTTTGTTAATTGACTTTGATACCTTCTTTTATTCAGGATGATCGGCATCAAGTCAGCTTTGATTATATAAATAAATTAGTTCATTCAGAAAAGTTGGTAAGTGATTTTTATGCATGGATTTAGCACCGGAAATCTAAGTGAAATCTAAGCTTGAGTTTTTGAAGGATCAATGTTGAAATATTTAGTAAAAGTAATGAAGACATGGTCATGGTTAGATGTAAATAAATGACTGTCCAACCAACAGAATTGATAAAGTTTACAATAAAAAGAAAAAAGTGCAAAAAATAATATAAAGCAAGCAATGAATCTATGCAGGACAAATTAACAGTAATATGAAAAAAGTTCACAAACTAAGAATTGGGGTTAACAAACAAAAGCAAGTTCAAGCAAGTGGATGTAGCATTCTAACTTCAAGGCAAGACAGACTGGGATTGAATCATATGAAACCAAGAATTGGCTTATTTTATTGGCTAGGAAGAAGTCCCAGCATGCACTTGTGTGCTTCTGTCTATGAATTGAGGAGGGGAATGTGTTTTATAGTCATTCCCACCAGAGATTTGTTTTCATTTTTGGTCCTCTTTCTCTCCAAATGCTACTTTGGATGACAAATGAGACTCTGCTTTCCATGGGTGAAGAAGGTAGCTATGTTTCTCAAGTTGTGGATACAGATTTTTGACCACTTTTAAAATCTTCTCCCAGCATTTTTTATGATAGACTTGTGAGATTGAATTATGATCCCCAGACTATTTTTTTTAATCTGAGCCTCCCCATTATTAGTTTTTTCACCAAACCTCAAACCACTTACACCACATTTCATATCTAATGTTTATCTCAGTTGCATTTTTTTTTTTTAAATCCCATGACCCGTAGGGGCACCATGTGTACTGTCGCCACAGTAGAAGTGGTGCTTCTTGTGCTAGATAGCCTGACGGAGCCCAACCCTCTCCAGGCCGGTTTTGAATTCAGTTTTTCCTTCTCCTAGACCAGTTGCCACACAAGGTTATAGAACCCAGTCTGTCCTGCTATTTATCCATAGCTGGGGGGAAGAGGATTCATACCTTTCCCAATAGTATTAGCATGTAAGTGAATGTAATAGATCTGACTGGAATTCAAACTTGGCTCTCTTATTTCTCAATCCGAACCACTATCCATTACTCCACTGTGTGTCCTTGCATTTTTTTCTTTTTAACTTTCTTAAAATAAAATTTTAGACAATCTCTTATGCTGCAAATGTTACTTATTTTCTTCCATTTTCCTTCATTGTTAGATATTCAATTAGATTTGTTAAAATTGAAAATGAAGACACCATCCACTGTTATAACAATTATTGCAATTAACTAATCTTTTTGAGAGAATAATTTTTTTTTTAATATATACAGAATTGTCTGTAATAACTAACCATTTTTATGTCTTTCAGCAAGGAACCAAATTCTTCACACAAAAGCAGTTCAAGAAAGCATTCAATAAATACAAACAGGTGATTTTTCTTTATTCACAAGCATCATTCCTTTCTAACAATATTGATTGAAGGTTTTGAGGAGAGTGGAACAACCTCTTGTCATTGTTCCCAGATCCATCTTGACCCGGGGTGGTAGCACCTGTTAGGGTCCCAGCTATGGGCAAATAGTGAAACTCCAAACAAAAACAAAACACCTTGAAAGTATAAAAATACATAGTAAAAATACCGGCAATATATTTTATCTGTAGTCAAAGGCATATAATAGTGTTAATAATATATTTGGTTGAAGCCATAAAATTGTGTTGAAAATATATAGATATGCTACTAAGCAAACTACCAACCAACATGAAAACACTCTTTCATGATATTAATCTATATAATATTCTACAATTTCTTAAAGAAATTAAATTATATTCCAAAATATAACTTCAACAAAATAACATAAAACACGCATATGACTACCTCTAGTAATTATGTCCAAACAAACATGTATATGCATAAACATGTATATATATATATATATATTATATCTTATAATGTCCTTATATAGATAATGTTGAACTTTTATATATTAAGAGACAGTGGAGTTTTTCTGAACTTTAAAAGCATTGTCTTATTTATGGCCTTTAATATAAAAATGATATGGATTGACTCTCTTGTTAGTCCTGGGTATGATGATAAACTACATCTGACAGCAAGGCCTCTGATTGGGATATTGAAGGTTTTAAGGAGAGTGGAACAAACTCTTAATTGTTGTTGTCCCCCAAACCCACCCTGGCTTGGGGTGGTAACACCTGTTAGAGTTGTTGATTTCTTTTAATTTCTTGTTCTTTTATTTAAGCTTTTTGGACAAATAAATAGTGTGTGTGTGTATAAAATTTCAACTCAAATAATGCAGTAAAGCCACTAAGACACAAGGGGATACTGAGTGTGAAAGAAAAACCTTATTAGGGGACAAAAACAATAAAAGAAAAGAAATCAAGAAAATAGCAATTGACATTGCATTTAAACTTGAAAATCAGTTAGCTGGAAAGCTAAAAACTGGAACAGTTCCACAAGAAAGAAGAAACTGCAAACATAGAACTTAGTTACATCTTGCCAATTCAATTGTAAATTGATGAGACCTTGTTGCCAATCTATCAGTAATGTGTGTGTATGTGTTTGTATTCTATGTTTAATGTTTTTCATCAGGCTGCTAACCTACTGGAAAGTTGTCATTTGGAATCTGATAAGGAGGAAAGGGAATGTCAACGAATCTTAGTCGATCTCAACTTGAACATGGCTCTCTGCTGTTTACGCCTCACCCACTCAACCCGTGCCATTACCTACAGCCGCAAGGTGTTAAATATGGACAAAAACAATGCCAAAGCTTTATTCCGATTAGGACAGGTATGTTTGTTTTTATGAAATGGCAATTAATTCTGTTGAATGTCAGCATTGCTTTTTTTTTTTTTTCTTTTTATCTGTAAAACAACAAATGTTATATATGCTGTCTTCTTCTATACCATTTACGCTTAACCTTTTATATTTAACACACTGCCTTATCTACTACTTTCCTTTCCACTGCATGTATATAAATTGTTTTCATTATAAATATTCATTGGGGTTTTATTTTCTTAAATGTTGTTATTTTTATTACCCATCCCCACAGACAAATTTTATATATGGCAACTTTAAGGTATTATTGTAGCTGTAGTAAGAATGGTGAGTAAGAATATGTTGTTTTGGTGTAAGGAATACTGTGTTATGTTTGGGTCAGTAATTGTGGCCAGCTAAGTTTAAGATAAAACAAACTGAAGACCAGCTTTCTCTTATCCCCCACCCCCTTTTGGCCTTGTGTCATGTTTTTTTATGATATCAAAATAAGTATTTCTTTCCTTTTCATTGCATTGTTACACTACTTAATTTCAGTCATGTCAGTTTCTGTTGCCATAGCAGAATATGACAACACAACTGCAAAATTCAAACACTCTATCATTCATTCATCTGAGCTACTTGCAGTGGCAGGATAACATTTTTTTGCTTTGCAAACAAAATCACCTCCAGAAGGTTAAAAGGTTAAGCCATGTAAGTTGAAGTAATTAATTTATTCTTAGTAAAAACTTACCATGAAGAAAACTTATTAAAGACTCTTTATTTATCTCTGTTGAATCTTACTTTATTTACTTATTCAGATTGGATAATTTTTACAGGAACACATGACCTGTCAGCTTCTGTGTGCCATGTCTTGAAGGGACATGGCACGCAAAAGAAGGTTTTTTTCTTCTTAGTCTGCGCGAAGAATGTCCACCTTTTACTGCTATAAAGGAGGACTGCTATTACGTAACAGTTTAGTACTCTTTCTTTTGTTGCTGTTGCTTTAAGTCTCTTCTTCATCTGTGAGGAGATTGTCCAGCATTCACTGCTATAAAGGAGGACTGATATTATGTAACAATTCAGTAATCTTTCCATTGTTTCTAATGAAACTTTTCTGTTTCTTTTCTTCGTTTTTGAAAGGCATCTTTCATTATCCCAATCTACCTTTGGATTTCAGTATTGCACTTTCCGTCCACTGTTAAAACACTTCCCAGATATTTAAATGTTCATACTTGCTTGATTTTACTATCTCCAATTTCCATGTTGGGCTGTTCCTTTTGTTGAAAACCATGTATTTTGTCTTCTTGCATTTGTTTAGTCCATTAATTTTTGACCTTTTTTTTTTTACCCATGGACCACTTTTACTCTTAATTTATTTTTGGTTGATACTATAAACATTCAATTAAAAATAAGTCTAACACTAGAGAAAATGGCTAACCTCCTGAATGAAAATGAATTTGGATGTGTCTCGCATGTAAAATATTCCCCAAAAGAAAATGGTGGCTTTATGAGTCATATATTTAAGAAAAGACAGATACTTTCGCGAGACTCTATTCCCACCCATGCAAATTTGACCTGTCTCTCAATCTATAAAATGTGCTTAACGAGGCAACAGAGCAGTGTGACTGTGATAGTCAACAGGAAACACTTTGTTGGATTGTTTGACTTATCCCACTCTGTTGGTTGAAGGAAACGAATTTGGGAATTTTATTACACACCAGATAAAAACTGACTACAAAAAGCTTATGTTTTACTAATAGATAAGTTTAAGAATTGTATTATAGAAATAGTAATGTATATGCTTTATTTTCAAGTAAAACTAATTTAATATTAACATTAATAAATACTAACTTACATCACTTGACCTTGTTTATTGTTAATTTTAGAGATTTTTTTTCTCACTTAGTATTTTACTATGGCGTAGATTACTGTAGAAACTCCAATTCTTAGTTGTAACAATTATATTGAAGTGAAATTTGAATATGGACTACTAAAATATTACCATAGACCCGCAATCTGCTATTTTTTTTTGTATGGGTCCCATGAGAACAACTGGTTTAGTCCTTTGTTCTTGCTTTCCTTCACTATCCTCTGTAGGAGTTCTTGTGTTCTTTTGTTAGTTCACATGATCATTACGTCCTGCCAATATCTCATAATGGACCATTCTGTTTTGATGCCTGGAAAAGACATATCAGTGACACTACTTGGTTTCAATCAGGAAATAAAAGAAAGAAGGGAAGATAGAAGTGTTTAATGTCTGTTTCAATGAAATGGAAAAAGTTGTAATTTTCAAATTTTCTCATTTGTACCCCCTTACTTCTTAAAATAACAATCAGCATTCATATTTATGCTTGCTATTGCAATATTTTGCTAAAGTTGTTAAGATCAAATATTTAACGATGCAATAGGGAAATTTCTACAGATATTTTATTGTCATGGAACTCGCTATAAGCTTATTCAAACAAACTGGAGAATTAAGATTCATCATAAATTTAAAATAGGAAAACCATGAAATTTTCATAGGTTAAAACTAGTAGATATAATTCCATCAATAGAAATGTTGGTTTCATAGGAAGTCTTTTTAGATGACAAAATGAGTTACATAGAATTGTTTCCACTTTTTTATTCAGTTACCTAATATTTTATGTAATGCATCCATGTTTATATAGAATTGAAAATAACTGACAAAGTACTTTGGTGTTAAGTTTTTTAAGTGCTTTTCTTGGATGTGAACAAGAGATTTCTTTTATAGACTTAGTGTCAATAGGAATTGTCCAAATGATTATTTGTTCCAATCACATTTGGCTAATCTGTTAGTCATTTTCATTGATCAGATCAACATTATTGATGACTTAAAATGTTCTATTGTATCCACAGCAAAAAAAAAAAGTACATAAATAATTGTTGACCTGCCACCACCTGATTATCAAAATGGCTGAGCATACATACACACACATATATATATATATATATATATATATATATATATATCTATATGAAGAAATATAGTCTTAAGGTGTGCTATATTTATGGGATAAAGTGCTCAATATCAGAGATAGAGCGTGTGTGAACATAGAAGTCAACACTTAGAGGCGACAGTCTGTTTCATGCTATATGCAATCGTCAGGCCACGTGTGCTGTTATTTTTCTCGGCTATTTATACATATACGGGTCAGTGGTGCATTGTGGGTAGTCTATTATGGTGGTTATTTTACCGGAAGTCGTTTATTTATTTATTTGGGTTAAATTATTTTGCTTGTTTTTATTTAATTTTATTTTTTGTTTCTTATTTTATTTATTTATTTACTTATTTTTTTAATCAGTGTTTTTTATTAACGTAGTAAAAATTTGTTTATATCACTTATTTAATAGTTTTCTTTTGAAGAATTTAATTAAAGCTATTTGTTTCGTTTGGCGGTTGGTTGTTGTAGTTTTATTCTAACTATTATTTTGGCAGAAACAGTTTTTAATTTGTGTTTATTTGAGTTGATTATCTTTATTTGTTTTTTCTAACGGTAACTTTATCGGGATTGGTTAGTTTATTTATTGGATGAATTTATGTCAATTTATTTTACTTCTATATTTTCTCTTTTCTGTTCTCGATTTTTAAGTAACCTAGTATTTATTTATTTATTTTTTATTTTTATTTTTTTCTCATTATATAATAGTTATAGCGATGTTTTTCGTCCGATTTTTTGGTTTGATTATTTAGTCTAACTAATATTTTTCGTCATAATGGTTTGCTACTTTGTTTATTATTTACTTTATTTATTTGGGTTCATTGTTTTTTTTTTTTGGTTTTTTTTTTTGTTATTATTATTATTCTATTTCGTCTATTCTAACAGGTGTGATTTGGTAATTTGTTTGGATTAATTAATTTTGCTTATTAATAATATAATAACCGCCATAATAGACTACCCACAATGCACCACTGGACCCGTATATGTATAAATAGCCGAGAAAAATAACAGCACACGTGGCCTGACAATTGCATATAGCATGAAACAGACTGTTGCCTCTAAGTGTTGACTTCTATGTTCACTTATATATATATATATATATATATATATATATATATATAACACAAACACAAAAGGTCTGATCAAAAAGTATCTAGAGTGGTGCTATAAAAAGAAAACTACAATACATCAGTTTTCCATTTAATCTCCTTCAAAGTAGTCCTCTTCATGGAGCCACACAATTTATCCAGCATCATTTCCATTGATGGAAGCATTCTTGGAACTACTTTGTTGGAATAGCGATCAGCTTCACATTTTTTTGGATTTCCTCAATGTATTCAAATCTTGTTCCTTTCAAGTTGGATTTGATTTTTGAAAAAGAAAAGGTCACAAGCAGAGAAATGTGGTTGGTGTGGTGGTTTTCGGTCCTGGGGAATGTTTTCTTAGCCCAAAACTGCTGCTCGTGCCATAGTCATTGATGGTGTGATGAGACAACCACACTCTACACACTTTCCTTCCATGCTCTGTTATAAACAATAGAAGTGAACAAGAACATTATAACATAGTGTGTATGCATGACAGAGGTCAAGTCAATCTGTGTCAGGTGGTTTCACTCTGTGTTACCATAGCAACAGTTCTGATACATTTTGATCAGACTTTATATATGTATATGTATATATATTATTCCAGAAAGCTATATGCAAATCCCAAAAGTCAGAAAGCTAAGAATTGTATTTCACAAGAGAAACAACACATAACACATGTGCAGCAAAACATTCCCCCCTCATTCTACCAGCCTCTTAAAAGCAGCAGCAGTCAAGATGGTCAAATAAAAATTTGCCTACTCTGTGAAGCTCTTTTTGAAAGATAGCTAAAAACAAGGATGAAGTATTTAAACCATTTCTGGCTAATTGTCGTTTTGTGTCACTTATCCTCGGGAAGCCTACTATTCCAGGGCAGCTGCTTTTCTGATGAGGCTACAAAAACCAAATAGTTCATAAATTAAAATCTTTATAGTTCTTTATTTTCACTCTTATCTTTGTTTACATACACCAATAGTATTAGATGTAATAGTATTTGAATTCCTTAGTTGAAGCATTGTCATTTATTAATTTAATGCAGCAGGACACCTATCTGACAGGCTTGTGTGAATGGATGGCAGAACATGGTGTGGGAGGTTTGGCAAAGAAACAATCATTGCCAATAGTTACAAGGGTAGGAAGTTGTGAAGAGCCATGATTGCCCACATTCTACAGGGACACAACACAGATGATTTTTCTTATTTCTCTCTTTTTATTGCAACACATTGGTCATCAGTTAACAGCATAGATCAGAAATAATTTGGTACATATTCGTTTCTTCTCTGACAGGCATTTCATCAACTTGGACAGTTTAATGAAGCCAAGAAATATTTGTGTAAAGCCCAAAAGATTTTACCAAAAGATTCCAGTATTCAGAAAGAACTGAAGCAAGTTAAAGAGTAAGTTAATTTTTTTTTTATCTCCACTTATAAATGTTTGATTGACAGATGTGTAGGACTTATTTACCAGTATGCAATTATTGGCGGAAATTAATATTTTTTGTTTTTACTGGGGAGAAAAATTTTAACATGGTATCATAATGTCTTTCATCAACTTCTGTCTCCATGAATTCTGTTCTTTTGTTGTCCTCTCTCCTCAATAATGTTTTATCAGTTTCTTTCACTCCCAATAATCTCTTGTGTCTTAGTGAATTTATCGCTTTGCTTGAGGTGAAATGATTGTGTTTTTTTATAAAAAAAAAACAGAAATAATTTATCAATAGTGGCAGTTTAACATGTCGATGCACAAAGAACAAATGGGGAACAAAAAGCTTTGCATTAAATATTAACCAAAAAGACAAGTGTTGTAAAAAGAAAAGAAAAACCCTTTTCGAATGTCTCGATATACTCATAAATGTTAATGTTTAGTTTTAATGTGTGTCACAATGGTCAGGTAAATTGTTATAGCAGTAAACTGAAGAAAGTTTTTTGGTTTTTTTTATTCCTTCCATGACTCAAGTATAAAACTGTAGCTTGTCAGAATTCTGATTCGGAAGTTGTTATGAAGTGTGACTTCCTTCATATTTTATAAATCCAGCATTAGTTGTTTATCTTGAATACTGCAAACTGCTCTGCCCTTACTGCTTGGGCATTTATGTAATCTATGCCTTAACTATGCTAATTAGGCAGTCATTTATATAACAGATTTGCCAAATGCATTTTTTTTAATCATTTCTCCCTAAGCAAGGCAATAAAAGCCACAAGGATGCAAGGGGTTACTGAGACTGAAAGAAATAGGCCAAGATGATGATTGATGTTGCATTTAAATTTTTGAAGATTGTAGTTGGCAGGAAAGCAAAAAGCTGGAAGAGATGTTACAGGCAAGAAGTGCCAGAGAAACTATTAGAATATGATTTATGGTTACATCTAGCAATTCCAGCTGTAAACTGGTGAGACCTTGCTGCCAATCTAATATTGTGCTTAAATTTGTGAAGTTGAGATACCAAAGAGGAAAGTTCATCAGGACAATTACTGAAAAAATATTTATAGAAAAGGCACAGGGAAACTGTTTCAACAGTGGAAAAGTGACTGAAGCTGAGATGACATTACAGGTTCTTCTTTGCTTTATATAACAAATCTCTAGATATTTTGCAGAAGCACCAGACCAGATGTGGCATCAATATTTGATGTACAGATGAATGGTAGACTTATAAATGTGAAAGATTCTGGCAAGAAAGAGTGTCTAGCACAACATAATGAACCAATTTTCTTGGTAGAAGACCTAGCAATTAATATGAATATAATATAAATGTTCCATTTCATGTCAGTAAAAAACGTAAGACCAAAAAGGTGCAATGAGTCACTCTTTTGGAGGTAAGCATTCACCATGCTAAAAGAAAGTAAAAAAAATTCTCTTCGATGATTAAAAGAAAGCCGTTTCATTTTTGAAGTATTAAAATTAACAAGCCCTTTCTTGCCCCAGTAAACAAAAGATTGAGTTGCATCTTATGATTAGTAATTTATCATATTTTCAACAGGAATTTAAAGTCACAAGTTAATTAATTGCTAAATATTGCTAATCCTGTTTATTTCTCTGATGACATATCAGCAGATCTATTTTTGATAAGAAATACAAATTTTATGTCTTGCAAGTTCAAATTACTGATACAACTGGTTTGCTACAAACTGACAGTCAAATCATGCTGAAACACCAGTTCTGGTTTGATTGCCAAAGTTAAGCAGTGTGGAGCTTGGTCAGTTTTTAGATGGGAGACCACTTAGGAACACCAACCTCCTACAATTCAAAATATGTTTTGGCTTTAAATAACCTTCAAATATCAGTCAATCAATCAACAATTGCTACAAGCTGCTAATAGGAAATTAACTCAGATATTAACCTTATGACATTTAAATTGGGGTTATATGAAGAATGAGTTGTTAAATTGAATCTAAAAGAGAGCTGAAAAGGAGTTTTATATATATATATATATATATATATAAGTTAGGTTCTTACTTAAAAAAAATAATAAATTATATTTAAAAATGTTATACATCAAAAAGATTCTAAATAAATCATATTTAGATAATTTATATTAAATTTAAGTAAGAATATAATTAAAAAAATTTTATAATAAAGAATAAAAAAAATTTTAAGATAAAATATATTATCTACTTTTAACTTTAAAGATAAGTTAAATCAAACCGTACTAAGTTATATTAAAAAAAATACCTAAAAAACATTCAAAAAATATATATAGCTCTCACATTGCAAGTCAAGTGAGCATGATCAATACTGAAGCAATTTTTGTCACTAACCCCATGTATATATGGGAATCTCGCTTTAAACATGACCTTGTGTCATATTTCATCCAAGTAGACATATAGATAAATACCCTTTTCATCTCCAAATTTAATAGATATGGTAAAATAAAAAGTCACTTTTTCTTTTCAAATTCATTAATATTTTTTGCAAGCACATTAAATCAGTATACAAAAAAATTATATTTATCTGTGAACTTTTATAGACAAAACAAATAACTTTGATATTGAGACTCTGTTAAAAAAAATATTGAATAAAAAATCATTATTAAAATCCCAAGAGGATGTTGCCACACAAAAATAACACTGATTAAAGGAATCATAATTTTCTTGATTTAAAAAAAATAAAAGTAAAAATTTTGGTGACCAGTGAGTTTTGTATTCAAAATAGATGACTTAATAAAAGATATATTTAAGTATTTAAGTTTTCTGTAATATAGATTTTGATAAAAATTCTATGTTCAGATGGAAAGAAGTTTCTGCTGCTTTATTGTTTTACTGTAGTTGTGTTGTCAATTTTAATTTTCAGGAATGAGCAAAAGTTTCAGTTTATAGAAGCTGATGTTTACAAGAAAATGCTTTCTGGTCTTGAAACAAACAAAAAAGACGTTTCTACTGCAGGTAAGATTTTTCTCTTTTCTCTCTTACAAAGATTTGATTAAAGACAGAATGATAAAATTCTTTGATACAACATGACAAATTATGTAGGAATTGTTATGCCATAAATATAGCATTCTTTATCAGGATCATGACACGGTTTGACCAAGCATTGTGAGTGAAATGAGACAAAACTATTTAGAAGCCATCAATATTTGCGCTAGCATGAAGTCGCAAGTCATTGTGACTGAGGATTTGAGTGTACTAGCCTTGTTCAATCACTAGTCAGGCCAGATTAGGCACTCTCTCTCAGAAACTGCTCAGCATAGTTGCAGTATATGAACCACAAGTTGGCTCTGTGGGTGTTGGTGAAACACAAATGTGCCTGAGCGAGTATCTACAACAGGGATTTTCTAGCCACTCTAGTAGACTCCATTGTCTCCCAAGACTATCTGATTATGGAATTAACAAATCATTTCCCAAACTTGTTTTGTCCTACCTGATCATCATGTAAGCCTAAATGTATTCTATGAGCAGGGACAGTGGAATTAGCAAGCTGAATTGAAAATCCAGGCTCATCAGTTGCATTCACTTTCACACTTGGGAAAGGTCTGAATTCATCTATCCCCTCTCCAGGTATGTGGTAAATAGCAGAGTAGACTGGGATTTCTAGCTTTAGGTGGCAACCACTCTAAGAGAAGGAAAACTCCAAATTCCAAACTATGGATAAATCAACAGGAAACCATTCTTCTATCTTTCTCAAGAAGGTATAATATTTCACAGATAATAAATAAAAGGACTCTGTGGAGAGATATGATTGCCTACATTTTGATGGAACATGACAATCTTTAAGGAAATGTGCTATAAAACTATTGTTCATTCTTTTTTTGGAGGTTTTAAAAAAATTCTTCCTTGCCTATGTTTTATTAAATTTGTTTTTATTTTGCATCTCAACTTATTGTTTCTATTTTCAGAGTCACCCGTTTCAGAAAGTGATGCTGTATCTAAAGAATTCCAAAACAGTGTAACCAAATATTTAGAGTGAGTTCTTCATTTTGACTTGAAACATTTTGACTCTAAAACCATAATATGGATTTGTAACTGTTTCTCTCATTGCTACTTTCAAACCACTAAGCTCAGATCAAAAAGTCAAGATTAGCTCAACCGAAAAGGAAATTTCAGCGTTATTGGATTATATAAATTTCTTCATGTTTATTAACAACAAAACTAGCATTATTACAATATCAGAAAAAAAAAACTTTCTTTTCCTTTCTTTTTCCTTTCCTTTCCTTTTCCTTTCTTTTTCCTTTCTTTTTCCTTTTTTTTTCCCTTTTCTTTCCTTTCCCTTTCTTTTCTTTCCTTTCCCTTTCTTTCCTTTCCTTTTTCTTTTTCTTACCTTTTCTTTTCTTTTCCTTTTCTTTCCATATCTTTCCTTTTCTTTTCTTTCCCTTCTTTTCAAGTAAAACTACTATTAAGGAGAGAGGACAATAAAAGAACAAGAATTGAGAAGACAGAATATAATGATTGACATTGCATTTAAATTTTTGAAGATCAAAGGGAATAAAGCCAATAGGATGCAAGGGGTTACTGAGTGATAGAGAATATGAGAAAAACTACTATTAAGGAGGGAGGACAATAAAAGAACAAGAATTACATTTTTGAAGATAGGAAGTTAATACGAAAGCAAGAAGCTTGAAGAGACTTCTACAAATAAGATGTTTGTTAGAAGAAACTATTAACATAGAATGTACAGTAGCCATTTCAGCTGTACCTTGATGAGACCTTGCCGCCAACTATTATGTGTGCCAATTGCGCTGTCTACTTCACCCTCCAGTTGTACCATACAATGTTTGAACAATTCACAAAATATTTTTCCTTGTTATTTATTTAGAGTTTCTAGATAAAATCCAAAGAATCTACAATATTATTGGTCCTGACCAGGCATCTCATCTTCAGTCACATTCCCAGTGCTTTAATATAGCTCTCCAGTGTCTTTTCTATAAATACTTTCACTGTAATTATTCTGATGAGCTTTCCTCTTTGTTACTGAGACTTTATGATATCAAGCATAAGATGTCAGATTGATTATAGAATTATATAATGGTGGTAGAAATCTATGCAAAGATCACAAGTTACCTTGTCACCTCATTGCTTGAAATCTGAAAAATCATATTGAAAATGTCAGATTGATTATAGATTGTTTAAAAGGATTATGCTGGCAACAAAATTGATTTTTTCATCATTGCATTTTTTGAAGCTTAGAAAATATTTTTTTAATATTGTCCTTTTGATTTGTTCTAAATAAAATCATTTTTTTTTTATCCAATAAACAAAGAACAATGAAGACAGATAACAAGAAAATTAATGATTAAATGAAATAGAAAAATGAAATGAGAACAGTACCCCCCCCACGATTAAATAAAGGTTTCAGTTCAGAATTCTCTGTAGGTTATCCAGATTGATATACACCTGAGGAAGGCCAGAGAGCACACTGGCCAAAATGCTGTGATAACAGCAGCAAAGATTCGGACAATAATCTGAATATAAATAGTGTTGTTGTGCCTTAATAAACATTATCAGCAGCAGTCCCAAGGTATGAAAACAAGCGGACACTTGACTCTTTTTTTTTTTTTTTTTCCCCGCCCTTCTTTTGAAGGGTATAAACATGAACATTTCACACAGAAGCAAAAAGGCCCATGGATGCTTCACACAAACACACCTACACAGGCAAGTCACATTCAAATATATTCATTAACAATTTTCATTGCATATTCCATTTTATTTTTAGGAAAAAAAATTCTTAAACTTTCCATTTGTTTAATAAATGTTATGTTGTATTGCAAATCAATCAGTCTCTTTTATTTTGTTCATGTACCTTTTTACCACCATTATTTCATGTAAAATATTCTCGTAGAAATCTTTATACATTATAATTATAGAGCCAACCAACACACTAATGTATTTATAGTAACTTCTCATCCCAGAAATTCAGACAAAAATTAAATGATAATATTTTAAATGGGGTGTTTTGAAAACCTCACAGTACTAATATCCTACAGTGATAACAGAGGGTTTATTTTATGCTATCAATTCGACTTTTCTCTTTTCCTCCTTTTGAATTTATTTACACATTATTTGAATTTTTTTTTTCTTAAATGAGAAGAACTCTTCACAATCTAATCATCACAAGTTGAATATTTGATATACTAACAAATGAAGATGGGTTTCTCTCTTTTGTTTTTTTTGTTTTCAAGTTTTAATGTTTCTTCAAATGAGCTTAAAATTAGTCTTTTTGAAGTCAAGTTATTCAGCTCATTTTTCTAAAAATAGAAAATAAAAGGGGAAAAAAAAACTTACTGATGATAATGTAAATAAAAATACTAGCAAAATGATTTTTTTCTTTTTAACAAAATAGCAATAGTCTCCAAATATGTTATTTAGAACTTTATTCTTTACTAGGCAATCCTGTAACCTAGAGGAGGCACGGTGGAGTAATGGATAGCGGCTTGGATTGTGGAATCGCAGAGCCGAGTTCGAATTCCAGTCGAATCCATTACATTCACTTACGTGCTAATACCCTTGGGAAAGGTATGAATCCTCTTCCTCTCCCTCCAGCTATGGGTAAAATAGCAGGACAGGGTTCTATAGCCTTGGATGGCAACTGGTCTAGGAGAAGGACAACTCTGAATTCAAAACCTGCAGAGGGTTGTTTGGGAACCTTGTGGCATTTGGTGCACCAGGTCTCTGTATTTGTCCCTTCAAAGATCTTAGATGAGGGTGAATGGAGTCTCTCTGAGCCTTGGTTGGCAATCCATTTAGTGATGGTCTCATGATAAAAGCACCCTTGATAGCCCTAGCAAAGCATCAAGAATTCAGCTACTTGACAAGATTATGAACTACACCAATCAAAGTATTGAAGATAAGGAATACTGGAAAGGTGTAGTGAGTTCAATCTCGGCTGAGGCCGCAAGATGATGAACCTATTGAGTTTTACTTTGTGAGAAAAATAAGATAGCAAAAAAAAAATGATTGTCATTGAATTTGCTCCTTCATTATTACCTTCTGTGTAATACATTCAAAAAGGAGCTTTTCTTTTTTTTTTTTTCTTTTTCTTCTTTTTAATCTACATTTTTTTTTCTCTTCATAAGCAAATAAATTAGGGACAGTCATTATAATTAACATTTAATACTTAATTTTTCCCAGTTCGACACAAATACTCCTCTAACCATACACATAAAATATTAACATTTAGTTGCAAATTATGGACAATTTTTTAATTTTTTTTATTTTATACCTCTGGCCAGTCATGGGTATGATGATAAACTACATCCAGCAGCAAGGACTCTCATTGGGAGATTGGTGGTTTTGAGAAGCAAGGAGCCACCACTTAATTGCTTTTGTTCTCAGGTCCACCTTTACCTGGGGTAGCAAGCACCTGTTAGGGTCCAGCTATGGGTAAATAGTGAACTTGCAAACAAAAATTAAAACACTATGAAAGTATAATAAAAGTACATTTTATAGTAAAATGACCAACAATACATTTTTAGTTGAAGGCATACAATTGCATTCAAAATATTTAGATTTTGCCATTAAATAACACATAGAGGTGTTGATATGCCACTAAACAAAATCAACCGACCAAATAACCAACATGAAAACTTTCATGTCATCAATCCATATAATATCCTACAATTTCTTAAATCAAAAACTTTATTCCAAAAATATAACTTCAACAAAATTACAATTTAAAACATCACCAGCTCTAGTAATTATGTCTTCACAAACATGTATATGCGCAAAAGCTGAGTATCATCTGCCATGTATTCAATTGTGAAAGCAGAATAACATACAGGGTGCGATGGGTAAATTGTCACTATTTTATATTTTTAATTTCAGGCATGCACATTGTTTTTGATTTTGTTGATTGCACAATAGAGTAGGATCAGTTGGGCAATGTCTCTGAGAAAAAGAGTACCATGATACAATTTACTCTGCCAGAAAATTGGAAATAGCCTACTGTACTGTTTGGCATTCACACTGGAAGCTCTAATATGAATATTTCAGAGTTTTTGGGTGTAAATCTGAGGATGATACAGAGGATTCAGAAAGCGTTAGACAATTGGTGATTATGAAGGTGTTTGGAGCAATCATTAGTTATGGCTCCATTCATCTTGCCTCAGGCTCAACATGGGGGCCTACATCAAGTGCCTTGAGGAGGTAGTGCTGCCCTGGATCAAGAGGGTTGCTGCTGGAAGACTCTATGCCTGGCAACAGGACTCTACACCATCCCACACAAGCAGGAGAACCCAGTCATGGCTGTCAGACAATTTCTGCAACCATATCACCCTTTACATCTGGCTACCCAACTTCCCAGACTACAACCCCCTTGATTATTATGTGTGGGTTGCAACTGAGTGAGAGACCAACAAAACTCCTTGTAACACCAAAGATCAAATGAAGGCAAGGATTATGGCAGCATTCACCAACTTAAACAAGGAGATTGACCAGAATTGTTGCTGAAAATTCCAAAGTCGTCCGGAGGTCATGGTTGAAATCAATAGTGATTTTATTGAATAAATTTACTCTTTAGTATTTCAAGATATCTTTGTGTAATTTTGGTAAATATATCTGTTAAAATGTGATGTCAGTGTTATTTTCATTTTTACATAATTTAGATGACAACTTATCCATTGCATACTGTATATTTTTATTACTCCAAAACTCCCAAGAAAATTGAATTTCCACATTAAATGGAGATAATACCTCTGGCCATCTACTTGAAGGTTACCAACAAAAACAAACTCTTTTTATTATTATTATTATTATGTAGATTATATATCTTATTAAAAAGATGGGTTTTATTTTTCTTGGTTACTCCTAAAATTTTATATTTTATGCGACATTCATAATCACTAATTTCTATTATTATGCTTGTTTTTTGTTTTTTGTTTTTTTTTCCCCAGGAATTTTGCGGATGATAAATGTCAAGATGAATGTCCCTTGCCAACATATAGCATGTCAGAAGCAGAAATGAATTTTGTCTTAGAAACTGTTCACAGTATGAGTCTTAATGTAGTACAGTCAGGCTCTGTAAGTTTGTCTCTTATTTTCTTTGATTTTGATTATGAAAATTTGACCATTTTTGCTTACATTATATATGAACTATTGTCCTCGTCTGTGTTGTGTTTTTTTTGTTTTTTTAGTTATTTAGAAAATGAACAGAAAGAAATTAATATAGCAGAAACAAAAACTCTATTGTCCAGAAGAAAATGGAAACATAACCAAAAGGCCAAAACACTTTTGTGTCGCATGCCTCTCTACTGAATGAGGTCAGCGAGTTCATGTAAATGAGCTCCTGTTAAACAACCATAGTTCAAGTGTCAGTGAGTGGTGGTTTTCTAAATGTAGATATGGCACAAGGCCAAAAGTGGGGGATGCTCAATGAACTCCCTATTCAGCCAGACAACTTGCTAAACATTACACATCGAAGTGTCACTGAGTGGAATGGATTACATAGAAAAATAATCCATTTCCATGCTCCACAAATAGCAAATTGTAAAGGGTCCAACAAACTACTATAAAAGCAACTGACTTTCCTACCGAGGGAGTTCTTGAGAGGAGGCTGTGTGTGTAGATGGAGATTTGAACTTTGTGAACTATTATTATACAATCTTTGGGTTATTTGATTTTTTGTTCTGATCTTTGGTTGCTAAACAAGCATGACATTTTCATAGTTTTCCTTCTAGTCCTATGAGCAATGAAATAACCCAGGATTCAACGAATATAAGAGCCAAAAATAAGAATATGGAGTGGGGGGGGGCACCTGAAGAAGGCCAAAAGTTACCATTCTGAAATGTTGTCTATATCAATATTTATAACAACCAAGATGTTAACACTAGTTTAAATAATGCAATGTAGAAAAACGCTTCTTTGTATCAGAATCAGACAGAAATGTGCCATGTCCCTTCAGAATGTTGATGATCATGGCTCTCCACAATTTCCCATCCTTTGTAGCTCTTAGTAAATTTTGTCTTTTTGTTATCCTGTTCTGCCATCCATTTATTTATACAAGCATGTTAGGTAGGTTATGTTTTTCTCTGTCCTTCTTACTTTCAATATGTCCTGTTTGTGTCAGATCTTCCAAGCCTTCTTTCCTCATTATACATCCTTGAAATTTCAACTGTCTCTTTCTGGTATTAAGTATGAGTGTCTATTTTGTTTCCATTTTTCTCTAAAACTTTCTCGTTACTCACATATTCAGTTTATGGTATTGTCAGTATCCCTCTGTAGAGTCATATTTCTGTTGGCTCAAGTCTTTTCTTCATCTCAGAAGAGATTGTCCCACATTTGTTGCTATTACATAACAATTCAGTACACTTTTTGCTCATTTCCAATGAAATTTTCCTGTTTCTTAATACTTCAAAGGCATCTTTTGCTATCCCAATGCACCTTTGGATTTCATAATTGCACTTTCCATCCTCTGTTAAAATACTTCCTACATCCATTTATGGATTTGATTATAATTTATGAAGAAAAAAAAAGATTTCTTAATTCCTGAAAGTTCTTGTGAAAAATATTCCTCCATTTTGTGTTCTGTTAATTTTCACTGATCAATTCTTTGACTCTTTTTATTTTGTAATGAAGTGAGTGTAGAAAAAGTTAAATTGTGCATGGTGCAATAGCAAATGTGCTTGTTTTTAACCTTGTCAGGATTTTACTCTTATTGTTATTTAAGTCTAATAAATCATTAATAGAACTAAAGTTTGGGGGAATTTAGTAAAAGTAATATGCTTCCATATTTGCTATAAATAATTTATTTCTTTACAAATATTGTCAATCTACAAACTGTTAATGAATCTAAATGAAACTTGTAGGGCTTATGGTCATATGTTGCGACACTGGTTCCTATACAATCACTAAAGTTAAGCAACATTGAGCCAGGTCAGTACCTAGATGGGTGACCATGTTACAATATCCAGTGCTGCAAGCTTGGATGTACAAGTGGTCAAAACAGCTTATGACCATATCCATATTGAAAATAGTTCCTGTATGCTTATCAAAGTTAAGCAATGTCAAGTCTGGTCAGTACCTAGATGGGTGACTGCTTGTTATTAAATTTTCAAACCCTTTGGTAACTTTTGGGACACTCTGTACAAATGTACTTTGAAAATGAAAACTGCAATCATGATATGTCTGATACTAAAGCCAAGACATTCTTCGTACTGAAGAAGGCTCATTTAGACTTCCATGTAAAGGTCTTAAAGATTATATATATATATATATATATATATATATATATAAAATAAAGTCCTTCTAGCTCTCTCTGGAAGCAGAAAGTGGCTTTTAGGATTGAATGTCATTAGCCTTTGATGATTTTGAAGCAATTTCTACGGACTACCAAAAATTCACAAATCGAGTGAAATAAAAGCAGCTATCCAGACACAAAAATCTGAATACATTAGCATCCCAAACCCCAGTGACCTTACATTCAGACCAATAGTAGCAGGACCAGCCTGTCCAACTAGCAAACTCAGTAACCTAATAGACATAATATTGCAACCATTTACTAAACAAATTAAAAGCCACATCAGAGACGATATCCATTTCCTTAGCTGCATACCACAAAAGGTAGATCCGGGAACGCTTATGGCAACTTTTGACATTAGTAGCCTATACAGCAACATACCCCATGAACTAGGTAAAAAAGCAATCTCATTCTGGATTGAAAAGCATCCAGAAATACTACATCCAAGATTCACTAAAGAGTTCATTATCGATAGTATAGACCTAATTCTAAACAATAACACCTTTGAATTTGACAACAAAAACTATATCCAAACCCTAGGTACTGCGATGAGAACAAAAATGGCACCAACATATTAGCTTACCTAGAAGAAAACCTCTATGAAAGGATAGAACAAATATATAGGGTAAATATAAAAACCCAATTCACCAATTCATTCATCTTGGAAAAGATACTTAGATGATTGCTTCATTTTTTGGAAATCCTCATGGGGTGATATTAACCAATTCCACACTCTACTTCAAAACTTACACCCAAAAATCAAATTCATGCAAGAATATAATTTTAACAAATTACCATTTTTAGATATACTCATTAGAAATAAAAACAACTACATAATCACAGATATCTACAACAAACCCACAAACACCCAACAATACCTTCATTTCAAGAGCCATCACCCAAAAAGCTGCCTAAAATCCATCCCCTATTCTCTAGCACATAGGGTTTGTACTATAGTGACTAATAAACACCTCCGAAAAAGACGCCTAGAAGAACTACATAAAACTCTAAAAAAAAAAAAAAAAAACGAGGCTACCCCACAACACTAATAAACAAAGGTTTTGAACTCACACAAAAAATTCCTCTAAACCAACTTAGAAATAAAAAGAATCATAACGTCGAACCAACTCTAGCATATGTCTCAACATACAACAAAAACAATCCAGAAATATTCACAGAAATTACAAAAAATCTAGACCTACTTAGCAAGAATAATAAACTGAAAAATATACTAAAAACAACCAAAATAATTAAAAGCAAACGCCAATCTAAAAACCTAAAACACATATTAACCTCATCCAAATTTAACCAACAAACAATACAGGGAGTGACAAATGCAATAAAAAAAGATGTGGGGTTTGTGACATAGAAACTCCTACACTTTTGAAAACCCCAAAACAACATTCATAATAAATAAAAACTTAAACTGCAACTCCGAAAATGTGATTTATGTACTTAAATGCACAAAATGCAAGTCGTCATATATAGGCATCAGCCAACAATTGAACAACAGGGTCTCCCTGCACAAAAGCAAAATAAAATTACCAGACAACAGAAAACTTTTTGTATCACAACACATCTTCAAATATAACCAGGGTAAATTTAAAATTATGCCATTATATCAAACAGACAATTATTCTTACCTACAAATACGAAAAAAAACTTCATAAACAAATTTAAACCAGAACTAAATAGATCATAAACCCACACGCAAAAGCACACATGACAACCAAATACGGTGATCAAACCACTCACATACATGCACGCACACTCACATGTGGAGCACGAAAATATATATATATATATATATATATATATATATATACACACATGTTGACAAAAGCAAGGAACTACTCACGGGCATGCACACAAACCCCACACAACTTACACGTGTGTATGTATGTATGTACGTATGTATGTGTATACTGGTTCCATGTAGAGTCAATAAAAATTTCTTATTAAATCAAAGGAACAAATTAACAGTAAATTGTAAACGTAGCTTACTTTTTACCTTACAATTTTGTTAAACTTTGGAATTTGATTATGCTTCTTTCTTACATTTTTTTAAATTAAATGTTACGAATGTTGGAATTGTACTCTATTCGTTCTCATCTTACCTGGATATATATATATATATATATATATAAAGTCGTATCTTTTAATGTTTTTTCTATTTTATTCATTATGCACAGTATTTTCGGTTCTTGATAAAACTCATGAATGAAAATTGATTAAGCTTTTTTCTTTTTTGTCTTCCTTTTTTGTTTTTCAATTTACCTCTTGATGGTAACTATAATTTTCTTTGTTATTCTTTCTTGTTTGATTTTCATACGTCCATTTTTATTGCAATTATTAAATTTTGTACACCTAGTAAAGCATTTAAATTTAAAAACTGTTGTATATTGTGCAAGTGTATATTAAAGTTGCATTTGTATTCTCTTGCACAAATATTGTTCCTATATGAAAACCTTTTTTTGTGTGGAAGAAATCCACTTACCTTCAAAAAGGGCTGTGGACATGTGCTTTGCCAATGCCATTAGTTGGCATGATACAAATAGAAAATGGGACAGATTCATTCCATTGTTTATAACAGAAAATGTTTGATGGATTAACTCGGATGTTACCTACGAGATCAATGGAATAATCTATATGTGCTGGCTATGGATTAAGTACCTGCCTTTGAGATCAAGAACATGTGGGCAGAGACAGTGTGGATCAAAGTGGCCAGTAATCAGCAAAGAGCTTGGACCAGTATCAGTATTGATTAGCGCAGAATGTTATCCTAAGACCCTGAGGACCAGACCACTAAACATGGTTACACCAGCTGGTGTAGGTGGCATCGAAAGGTGTTAAATTATTTGGTGCCAGTGACCAAGGATATAACCCTGTTAGCAAAAGGTGTTGCATAGATAAGCATCAACCTTTGACTTGAAGAGGTTAAGATTGTAGCATTCATTGTAAGAGTCTGTTCCAAAAAGTAACAATTCTTGGGTGAAAACTGAGTGGAACTTCCAACTGGAATACAGGGGAAATGACAGTAATTTAACTCCCTGGAAATAACGGAGCATGCTCTAGCTGTAAAGGTCTGAACTGAGGATTCTTTTAATCAAATTAAATTGTTATTTATTACCCTTTATATATGATTTGGTCAATATAAAAAAAAATGATGCAACATCATCTTCAACATGAAAATGTCCCAAATATTTGTTTTTATTTTGTTGCATGCGCACATTTTATTTAAATTGCTAATTTGACATTTATAACATGTTTTTTTTTTCTGTTTTTGTTTGCAGGGACAAAATTCCACCATTCGAATTACCAAAAATATCCCGTCATTCCAAGATGAACAAGTTCTGTTATCTTAACTATGAGTAAATCTTATGGTAACAACCAATTTCTCCAGTTCTCTCCACATTACTGCCAGTGTCAATGGAAGAAACAGCATGTCCTTCTGTCTTGTCCTTAGGGTTTTTGAAAGTGACAATATTTGACATCACAGAAGGAAGTGTCATGGTACAAAGAATATGAAAAAAAAATCTAATTTACTCATCAAAGTAGAATCAAATTTTAAAATCTTAATTAGCTTTATTGCTTCTGCTAAATTCCTTAAATTGTTACAAAGTTCTTAAAATTTTATCAGATTTGGCCTTTGGTTCATAACTTGATAAATCAAAGGAAAACCTCAATCGTCCAACTTTGGATTATTTTCTGAACAACTATGGTAAATTGTATAATTCTACTTTTTTTTTTTTTTTTTGGGGGGGGGTGGGGGTGGGGTTAGTTGGGAATTATATATAGTTATATATTCAAGGGTCAGTTGGTTTCTCTTCTATTCTCCAGATCTTTAAATCATTCATTGTAAATTTATTCCTCACAGAATATTCTGTAATTCTGTGTTAAAGATTGTCACATCTACCAAATATGATTTTAGGTTGTCCAGAAATAAAGGCCATTTTGTAATTTTAGAAATGTGCAATATTGTGTCACTTTCCCAGGATTGACTCCAAACTCTTTTGTCACTTTTCAATATTGGATGATGAGTTTCCTTTCTTAATATTTTCTCTTTTCATCTTTGATACTCATATCTCTAGAAGGAAACGTTTGAAGCCAATAATCTAGGCTAAAAGCAGTTCTGCCGCACCATATTTGCTTAATATTATCGATCTTTTGAGAGCCATTGAGGTCAGGTTCATTCTTGATGAAATCAGTTTTTATTAAACAGAATCGACAAGGAATGTTTGGTCTTTTGGTGAGTTTCAACTTATGTCAAAGAAGTCATTTGATGTCAGGTGGAAACTTGTATAGGAATTTATCGAATTTGTTTGTAATATTCTGAGTACTTTTGATCTAATCGTCGGTCATTATCAATGAGAGAAAGTAGAAGTGGAATAATAACTGGTAGTGGGAAGAACTATTGCTTTTAACTGGAGTTTGAAATGAATGTTGGTTCACATATGGTCGGGGAAGAGATTATAGTATTGCATTACTAAAATGACTTTACTGTTTATACTAGCACAACAAAAATGGTACATAATTTTCTTTACATTTTAACACTGCAAAAGTTTTACATTCTAGCAAAATATTAATAATTTTACTATTCTTGACTAAAATACTAACATTTAAAAACATTTTTAGACAATCTGATATTTTGCTCAGGGTGTTAATTTTTACTGATAAATAATCTCATTACTGATGGGTTTTTTTTCTCTGGAACTTTCTTGCCAGATATTGCAGATTATAAGCTTCTTACAAATCCCCGAGTTAATTTAAAGAAAGGCATTAACTGCATAAGATTAGCCCATTACTTGCAGCAAAAATAGTTCAGTTGGCATTTCTTACTGTAACTAACTTACATTTTAGTTTTCAGGACAGTGGATGAAACATTTTTATTTTTTATATTTATTGCCATAAAAATGGACATAATAAAAATTGCAACGATATTACATTGTTTTTTAATATGTCTGTTTTTACTGCAATAATAAATTTTTTACTTTTTTTTTTTTTAATCTGATTTTAAATAGCATTAATAAAAAAAAATGCTAAAGAAAATTATTTTAGAACTTAAAAAAGATTATGAAAATGTTAGAAAAATCCACTTTTGTCAGGTAGATTTCAAAGCATTACTATGCATAATCCAACATTGACATCTTTACACATGATGAGTAAGAGTTGTATATATCACACACATATATATATAGGGTACACTTTGATTTTGATTTTTGACACTGAATTGAAGCAAAGACATTTTTTTTTCCCTCTTTTTGTGAGAGGTGAAAAAAAAATTTTTAATTTAAAAAAAAGAAATGTTAAAAAATGTGAAGTACCCATTGGGACAAAATATCTTCTGACCATTGATTGGTTGGATGAAGAAGTGCCTATTTGATGCTCTAACTCAAAAAAAAAAAAACAAACAAATTTCTATTAATCAAAATAAATTTTCATCATTCATATTTAGTTTTAGCTAAATGTGAACTGAGAAATTTAATTTACTGTCAAAAGCTTCACCAACATGTAATATAGGTTTCTTTTTAAAATCTTTTTTATTTCATTTCCATCTTTTTTGATTTTATATGGAACATTGATATATCTGCAAAAGAATGTAAACAAAATTTTCTCTTTATTCAGAAAAGCATGGTATTAATTTGCTTACACCATTTCTTCCTGCATTTTGTAAAATATATAGAAATTTTCAAATGTATAAAAGTAAAATATATTTTCACATTCAATTGAAATTTGACTTTTTCTTCTTTTTTTTTTCTTTTGTTTTTTTTTTTATTGGTAACTAAAATTGACATTTTAAAAGAACTGTGTATGTATAAAACTGTATATTGCCACTTTTTATGTCAAGTCAAGAGCTTTGATTATACTGCTGTGGGTTTCCCACTGACTGCGCTACGCAGTACTTGGCTAGCTTGTACTCTCTCTTTCCAAACATCCCTGTCAAGCGGGCTAATGTGGGCCTACACATCTCTTTCACATCTTCCTAGATATACCTTGACCTCTGTGACCAGGAACCCTGGATAATCCTAATATATGACGAAGTTTGTTGGACATGATCAAACCATCTAAGACAACATGTGCACAGCACTGATGTTATAGCCTCAATATCGAGCCTTGTTAACAACTTGGATGAGGGTGTTTCATACTGAGGTTTTGTGCTGTAGATCCAACAAATCATTGAATGGTCATTACAGCAGAGTCACTACAAGACCAATGCATTTGGTACCTAAGTCACATTACCATGGAGTTGTGCAGATTGTATGCTCACAAAGAAGAATTTGCCACAAATTCTCAACAATATTTGGATGTGAGAATGGGTAGGAGCTTTTTGAATTTCCCCCAAGCCGCTGATCACCCGGTTATAATGGCAAAGCTCACAACCTCCACCTGAGCAGAGCATATCTCCCAAGATAACAGAAACATGGCTCGATATCCATTTTTGAACCATCCAAAGTGACTTGGGTATTAGGCTTGCCATCAATAGGGCATTCTTTGCCACGGCATTTAGGGCAGATGTAATTTGGTAGTTCTGTTAGCCTACCAGTGATGCTACTGCATTTCTTGTGTACCCGGGTGTTGCATTTGGTGCACAAGATCAAATGCATTCTCACTCAACTGCAGCAGACAGCACAGGGAAATGCACCGCAACTTGTCAAGGTCAGTGCCAGAAGTCATAAACTTGGTCTTTTTTATGTTGACGCAGACCCCCTTGCTCTCCATGCCCACCTAGGTTTTTAGCTTGGCAATACATTCATCCAGAGTGTCAGCAATTAACACAAGGCTATCAGCATATAGAAGTTCACATGGTACACCAGTGTCGAATTCTTTCAAGAGAGTGCCTCCAACACAAGAATGAAGAGTAGTGGACTCAAGACTAAGCCTTAATGAACACCAACACTGGACTCCCCTCTTTATTGGCCATTGGAGTACATGAAGCATAGAAAACAGATATATTAAGTCCACAGCCTGACAAGAAAAATATTTATTTCGTATAAGAAATATTTGTTTTTCAACATAATCTTTTGTATCAATGCACTTAACCCAACACTTGTCAATAGATCACACATATCAAACATAAATTGAAAATTTCAGATCAAAATTCAACTAATGCCTATAGCAGGCTATGAACTTATTGATTCCCCCTCATACATAAGTGGACTTTGATGTTAACACAACAGGCTTCATACTTAAATGCAATGGTCAGGCCAAATTGTTACACACAAATACCATTGGGAAAGGTATATTTTAAATTTATATATATATTAAATTTAAATTTTATATATATATATTAAAGTAATCTGTTTTTCCGCCAGCTATGGGTTAAATAGTAGGATTTGTATCTGGAAAATCAGTTATTCTCAAAAAGAAAGTTATTCACTTACAAAATAGAGAGGTTGATCATCCTGATGCTTGGAAAAATGGAGTCCACATTTCTGTGATGTTTGAACCTATATTATTTTTCTCTGACTCTTCAAATGTTGAATGTATAACTAATTCTAATTTCTATTTTCCCATCTTTACACTATATTAATTTTATCTTATAAATTGTCCCCTTTTCTGTCACCCATGAAATAAAAATAATTGTTTGTATGGAAAATAAGGATCTACGTACATCAAATTGTCTTTAAATTAAGTGGCAACAGAAGAATTATCATTGAACTTTTAAAAGGTAAGCTTAAAAATTAATTCAATGCTTACATGCAGCAATCAATTTTGAGTTCTTCTGTAGTTTATTGTTGCCTATTGCATCTACTCCTCCCTAGCTATTGTGATGATGGCCAAACCAAGAGTTCTCCACAGGAGCTAACTTAAATGCCGCCAGATAGTGTGGCTTTTAAGCTAGTACTAAAAATAAAAAAGTTTTCAACAATGTTTTTATCTAGGGTGTCTATGGGGTTATAAATTCAGTAAATAAGCCCCACAAAACCTTGATGCAGCAAAAATCCTGGCAGTTTTGGAAATGGTGATACATTAATATTTTCTCAGCAGATCTTGTGTATGTGTGTTCATTTGCAAATACAAGTCAACAGTAGTCTGAATGCTCCTATGACTATGAACAGTTGTTACAATCATAACCTTTGCCCTTAACAAACATCAACACAGAAACTGCCAACTCACTCTCTTCACCAGATGATGCATTCAGTAAAATTACTCATAAATTTTGCTGTTTTCTTTGAAAATTAGATGCCTATTTGTTGACAATCAAGAATCTTGTAAAATATTTGGGTCAAGATTTTTTTTTATTTAGAAATCATTTTTTGGTCAAAAAGCTATTTAAGAAAACATTATTTTCAGCTCTCAGATAACTTCTAGCAATGATACCAACATTATACAGTTACTATTCATCATGTCAACCCACTCAGGCAAAATAAGTAAAGTAGGTAATGTTTAGTATTTACTTAGTAGTGAACAATTGAATAAATTTAAGTGCAGTACAAGATTGGTAGTTAGGTACCATCATTTTAATTAGGTACTTCCATGAGATCGCTATAGCATGAATAAAATGGGCCTTAAACTTGATGAAAATATTTTTATTGCCTAAATGTTTATGTTATTAAGAGGTAAGATCAAAGTATTTTGGGGTATGTTTTTACATTTTTAATCGTTCCTAGCACGTCCGAAATTTTCGTTAAAAATCTTTTATTTTTATTTTTTTTTGAGTTAGCAAGATTGACAGATAATCGATCATATCACCCATTTTTTCCATTTTATATACTAATTGAAAATCTCCGTTTCAAATTCTTTTAAAAATCAATTATAATTTTTTTCAAAATTTATTTTAAGAAAACTAGAAATTATAAAGTTTATTTAAAATATTTTGAAACAAACATTACTTACTTTCTGTGCCAAAAAAAAAAATGTAGTTAAAAATAAGACAAAGCAGATTTTAACATTTGGTGTCACTTGATTGATGATTTCATCACGTATTGACAGCTTACGTAAGAGAAAGTTACCGTACGGAAAGACAGAAATGACATAATTATTTAGTTTTAAGTGAATCAACTTATTTACTTCGTTATTTTTAAGGAAAACTTTCAGCGCTCTAATTTTTTTTTTGTACTTTCATCTTTACGTTTACGATACTTTATGCATAAAAAATTAAAATAAGCCTGTTGAGAGTGAGATTAAATCTCATAAGAAAGGTATCTACTTAATTTATAGGTACCTTACGAAATTTTATCAGAAGTGTACATAAAATACTATAATTTTATGTACATTTATTACATTTTACTGTGTTATTTGTATTTCCATTCATTTTATTACTAATGTTGATACTTCATTTATGGAAAAATATCATAACTGAGATAATATAAAAAATAAGATCATATAGATTTCATAAGATGTTACTAATACTTGTAGGTACCCTTCTTAGTTGAAATTGAAAAATCAAATTCTCCACACGAACAATTCGCAAAAATAAATGCCATAACAGCGAAGAACAACGCTTAACTCAAATAACGCGACTTTTTATTGTATTCTTGCTGGTCTTCCGTACATTTCAATTATAGCCGTTTTATGGCTACAAAAGCCATCTGGAATTAGTTTTTTTTCATACCGTGTGGCTTTTCTGATTGTTATAAGCTATACAACTCATAATGCTAGAAGATAGAGCTACTTAATAACACCATTGACTAAACTGAAGAGAGTTTTCACTAATTTTGTAACAACTTTAATCTAAACATAATAAAATAATTTAAGAAATAACAAATAATTGTTTTAAAAATTTATTTTTCATCGAAAAAGTGTTTTGCTTTCAGACAATATTATCCATATTTATAAAAACAACTAAAAGTATTTGAAATTAAATAATATCTTTGTTTTATTGAGTTTTGTATGTTACAATTCAGAGCTGATTTTCAGGTAGGGGGGTCAGATTAAAAAACGATTTGCTTTCCTCAAAGCCTTGTGCTTTTTAACTAATTTAATCACTAATAAACTGAACGATATTGAATTTCTAGAGTTTTCATAAATTAGTTATGGGGGAGAGGTAAATAAATAAATATTAAAAAATATTTTTGCCCTGACTTTAAAAAAAGAAAACATATAATAATTTCGATCATCTCTAAATAGTTTCTGAAAGTTTCATTAACATCCGACAATTATTTTTATTTTTGCAAGATTTTCCAAATTAATGTGTCATACCAAAAATAAAACGTGCTAAAATTTTATGTTATTTAGTAGTTCTGCTGATACAAAGAGAAACAAGTTTTTTTTTTTAATCAAAATTTAGAATGTTCTAAAAAGAAGGAAAAAACTTAAAAAAATAATTTAAAAATACTTTGTTCTTTCCTCTTAATAATAACAAACATTTAGACTATAAAATTTTATTTTCATCAAGTTTGGCGTCTTTTTCATCATGCTATGCGATTTTTTAGCGATTTTATGGAGGTACCTAATTTTATTGTTGAAATTGCTAAGTGTAAGCATAAGTTCTATTCTAACAGTTTCTTCTCATTTCCATCTTGCCTGTAGAATGGAGAAAAATTAATAGTCCTAAATTAATACATTTAAATTATAAATAAATGTATTAAGGCACGGGACTATACTACTGATTTTGTACTCGGCTTCTTCATAGGAAAATAAAACTACTATCTTAAATTTAGTAGATGAAAAAAAACAAACTATAGTGTTCACTGATAAAACATTTATTTCAATAAAACAAAATTTCCATGCATATTGTTCCATATGCCAAATAGTAACAAAACATAATGATAAACAAAGAGATTTACTTACATTAATAATTTTGTCAGTCTGTAATGGTCCAGTCCAGTGGGTAGATGGACCAATACCATTTATATTATTATACTTTCAACGTACAGGATTCATGTAAACAACAAAAACTCCAAACTGTGAATCAACAAGTATATATTGAAATAACATACAAGGACAAACATGCAATAAAATTGTATTCAATGTTCAGTGTTTTGGAATGTGTCACGAAAAAAAAATGATTTCGTCTCTTTCTCTCCTGCTGTCGTAGCGACAGACGCAGTCTCCACTTCTGAGACTGAAAAACTACCCTCCTTCTCATTCCAGTCCTTTACATATAGCTTGGTAACTCACCTATGCAAAACACCAACAAGCCAACTACCAATCAGAGTTCCCACGCCTGCCCACCTCCACTCGCTTTAGGGGTTTCAAGTTGACCGACCAACTCATTACACGCCCCCCTGATCTTAAGATCTCAGTTCGAGAGATGTTCGCGCATGTGTGGTTATCCCAATATGTCAAGCGTGCAAGTTATATATATGCGGACGCGAAGACAACGGTGCGCTGTGCACGTCGACTTCGGATTCCCACTTTCACCGCTCCTATTGTTCGTTTGCTTACGATCCTGTTCTTGGGGAAAACCTCGTAGTACTGTTGGGGATGCGCATGTAGTGCCACGCCTACATTTCTTCAACTTTGATTGGTCGATTAATATATACTAAAAATAATAGGACAATTTATCGATCGCATTTCACCATACTGAATTTTTTCTACAGTTTGCTCACAAACAGTTTTGTTATAAAATCACTGATTGGTTCATTTTTCATCCAATCGAGTATTTTTCGTATACCTTCAAAAATATATCTCGTGTTCGTGCTGGGAGCCACCTATAGTAGTATATATTTGGATGCATTTCCCAAATCAAACAGTAGAGTAATAGACCACAGTAGAGTACAGAGCAGAGACAATAGATCTCGACTACTCACACGTGTTATTCATTCTACTCACTCCGCACGTACACACACACACAGATACAGAACCTGAATTTCATACAACATCAGTTCTATGTGAACAAACCAAGTTGAAACAACTGTGTTAGTTACAAACACACAACTGAACAATCTTCTGAGGATACATTCAATCTTAACACTTAACTCTGAACTTTATATTCAGAAAACTGAACTTTATACTCAGAAAAACTTGCTTAAAAACATTTCCTAACAGTTAAAGGGGAACTACTTTTTTCTCCTTATTCACACATTATACAACTACCTTGTATTTATTGTTGATGTTTATTCGTTGAAACAAATTGGTTCTTCATTGTTTTTTCTTGATATATTTTTAAAATTATGTATGAATGTTAAATGTTTATTCAACACGCAGCCACATTTATCTACCAAGCAGCATCCTACATTGGTAACCTCAACACTTAAGAAAGCAGCATTCTACACGCAGAATGAACTAAGGATTTTGCTATAGCATTATTAAAATAAATCAGAAGGATTTTTTATGTCAGGTTGTGTGATCTTGCATCCACAACAATAAATAAATCTTGATATAAACTAGGCAAAAACATGAATGCAATTCAAAACCAATAAATGCATTTATATACAAATACAAATATTATATAAAAATATTTTAGAAGATGTTAATGTGTTGGTATGTTCGTAGTATTTGAAGTTTTTGTATGTCCTTTTTTTGTCTTGTATATCTGTATTACAGCCCTTTAGAAAATTGTAATTAGTGTTTAGAATGTCGTTATTATGTTTTTAGAATTGAGTCATTCAAAAGTAGTCTACCTTTAACTGTAAATGTTAAGTTAGTTCGATAATGGTATTTACTTAAAATGGTAGTGAGTGTTAATAATTCACTTTAAGTAAAGTCTTGCGGGTAGAAGTTCTTTGTGTTCACAGAGTAATCTTCGAGTCGAGCTTGTGAATGAGTCAGTTGTGGTTTCGTTTGCGCGGGAAAATTATAATCGCAAGTGATGTGGATTAGATTAGCGTTTCTCTGTGTTTGCTGGACTGACTGACTTGTTGGAATGAAATTCTTCCTTTTATAAGGCTTTTTAGATGTTCGGGTTGGCTCAGCTACGTTTTGGTGCAATTTTACTTCCGCACGGGAAGTTTTTGAATTATCACGTTGCGATCCAATAGAAATCGCTGCTTAGCACAGTAAGGTTTTTTTTTATTGGTTAAGGTTTATTTATGTAGGCGTATAGAATAGAATGTCCCTGTTGCTAGGGGTGATAAGGTAAATGGACGAGTCCACAGCACAGCATTGAGAACCCGTTAGAGTCATTGAGGCCCTGCTCGGTCTTGTTCCGAATCGCCATATCAGAAATCTTAGACAGGGAGTTTTCATTCTGAACGTTGAGGGAGTAGTCGTCTTTTGGAACGGATGGCGGAGACCTTACGGCCAGGAAGGTGCGATTTCAGCATGGCTTTGTAGTCACCCCTACGTCGCCTGCGGCTTATTGGTCACAGTGGCGTGCTATGCAGGACCCTATGTACGAGTTGACATTTCACGCGCTTAGGGACAACGCCTCGCGCTCTACCTCATCCCTACGGTGTAGCTCATTGCGGATCCACCGATATGAGGCGTCGTGCCGTTTCTTTAGCTCATTCCACTGGTTTGGATGTGTTCAGCGCATATGGCTAGAAAGACCGACCGAGCGTTCGAAAACAGATCAAACAGAGCAGTCGCAACGATCGGTTCTCACCGATCGACAAGGAAGTTAGAGTTATTGTTCCTGCCTATCCTGTGGCGAACGACGAGGCCATTTTGTATCGATTAAGAACCAGAGGGGGATGGCAAACCCACAATGATCGGCACATTTTGGAAGTACGGGCACTCCACATTTAATGTCTGCGTTTAGGGAGGCCAGTTCTGCGTCGATTGCGAAGAGACTGTCTCGTAGCTGAAGTGTAAGCGTTCTCAACGCAAATTTGTTACTTTCACAACACAAAGAAAAAATCACTTGTAACGCGTCAGGAAAATAACTCACTCTCCCACGAACGCCGTAGCCAAAAATGCCCGAATTTTCCTTCTTCGGCAGATCGCACACAAAACACGAACTTTTTTCCGGGGTACCTGATCATCTCGTTCACTACACTCCCCCCTGTCACATAAGTGACACTCATGGGCGGGCCTCTTTATTCTTAAGCTTCTCCGGAGCGGGGCGACTGTTGGAGGAGATTGTGTGTTATGTTCTGAGGTTTCTTCTGATCTGACAACCTCATGCGCAGAGTCTTCATCATCTGAAGAATGTTCTGAAGATTCTTCTTCTGAGGATTCTTCTGGTCTGACAACCTCACGCACAGAGTCTTCACCATCTGAAGAGATGCTAGCCCTACCTCCGATGGTAATTATTTGTTCACTTTCTGAGCACTCACTGCTAGTGTCACCTGTTGACATATCTGTACCTACATAGCGACGCAAGTCCTTTATGTGTCTTGGTATGCCATCAACCAGCAGAGAACGCGAGTTACTTAGTCCAGTGACATGTCCCACCCGGTACCGGGTTGTACACCGGCTATGTGGAGATTTCACCCACACGCGATCGCCCAAGTCATACGGCGCTCGTTCGTTTATCCGTTCAGTTGAACGCGTTGCGTCAATGCCTCGTAGCCGGACTTTGTACTGATAAATCATGTTTGCTGGCGCAGTTGATGGCGATACATTATTGTCTCTCGGAGTAACATTGTACCAATACACCGCCTCCATTATGGAACACTGCTTCCTAGCAGCGATTCTTTTGATGCTCCGATGACATCGCTCGATTATGTCATTCTCTGATGGGACATACGCGCAGCGAAATCTGAGGTGTACTCCCCACGAATCCACAAAATCTTTGAATAGTCCACTGCAGAATGCAGTGTCGTTGTCAGTGAGGAGTTCCGTCGAAGGTCCACGTTCAAAGAACAATGACCCCAAGTGGTCAATGACGCTTGCGGAATCCTGTCGACGCAGACGCCGCCAAATAGTGAACCGGGTTGGGCCACAGTCAATCAGGGTTAAATAGTGATGTCCGTTATAATGGGTGATGTCCATTCCAACACAGTGCCATACCTTGCTTACACTCACTTGTCCTTTTTGCCATTGCACAGGTGCTGGGTCGATGGACTGACACTCCTTGCATCCTCTGACCACTGCCCTGACAGCAGCTTTGGATACGGAGGGATAAATCTGCCTCACGAAATATAAGGTCCGTTTTACACCGGGATGTCCGCTTTGGCAATGCACAGATTTTAGTAAATCTGAGTTATGGTTGCTCGCTGATGTTACACAGACATGTCCTACCGGCTCTACCTCTTTCTTAATAGCGTCAAGCCATTTTTGGGGTACCCTTGTTAAAGTATCGGCCTTGTTCTGCTGTGATCTGACCAGCTGTATGTCTACGGATAAGTGGTATTCACTTACCAACTTTCCCAGTGTGTCTAACCGCCTTCGAATGAGCACCTCGCTCGCAGCCTTTGTACGTATCCTAGCCTTCCCCGTAAGAGTGTCTGATATCCACTTATACACGCATGCGGAATCCGTGAATAAATGCAATGCCTTTGTATTCCATCGAAGGGCCGCGGTGACTCCCCTGATAACGGCGTCTAATTCTGACAGGTTGATATGTTGCGTATCCTTCTCGGGACGCAACCAACACGCATCTTCCACGACAGTTTCACCTACTTCAAGAGACACTCCTGTTGCAAGGGAGCTCGCGTCGACCCAGACGTTAAATTCACATCCGTCAACGCACCATTTACCACGTACGGGGCCGTCTTGTCGCACCCTAGTAATGACTTGGCTATCATGTGTCTAAGGGGACCATCATTTGTTGTGTCATCACAGCCGGAAGTGACAGCAGTCACCCTACGTTTAATAAATGCAGTTGCAATGCGGATCCACCCATCTGTGCTACTTTGAAGATCAACGAGCCCGACTTTAGCGCAGAGTTCGACCAAAGGACGAAGACATGGACAGCATCTTGAAATGGACCAACCATGCTTCCTCGTGTCATCCAACCAAGATCGCCTCCACTTCTGGAAGATCCCACAGTTTCTTTAACTGGCGGGAGCGTTAGCGATTGGCCACCGCCGGAGTTCACTTTGCAGATCGGATGTCGTTGCGCGGAGCCCAATGCAGCGAAAACGACTTTTGTTATTTCGACTTCCGCCCTCGCGGCGTTCACATCCGGCTAGCGTGTAGAATGATCTGCAACTACGCCTGTGCGTTTCTCTAATATAGGCTATGAGAGAGAGAGAGAGAGAGTTCACGCACATATGCTAACCATAGGGGCTATCCAAGAACACAGCTGACTGCCCATCTGACCATTAGGCTGTGAAATCGGAATGAGAACGGACTTCACTGTCATCGCGACAAGCCCAAATCGATAGCCAACAAACAGTCAGCCGATTTAAGCATATTCCTTTTTCACGCCTTGTATACCGTACATTTGAACGCTTCACTATACGACTTACCAGAGACATTTTAATATCTTGTAAATGAAAATAAATTTTTGGTCATTTCTCCAGCTTTTTTTTAGCTTTTCAATTTTTGATTCGTAAATATAGTTTTCACAATATCACCTAACCAGATGGAAGTAATACAGAAAAACCATTCTTGTAAAAATTCATTATTCATTGAAATTTTTTTTCTTAAGACAATAGTGTCCTTAAATCTTTTTTTTTTTTTTTTATAAAAGCAATAAAAAGCTTCTCTAATTAAATAATGTCATAGTTTTATTGCATTTATTAGGAGCAAATTTTCGGGAAATGAATACTAGTTTGAAAAAGAAATTGATGATTTACATTTTCCAAGGAGTCCTGCTTTTAACTAATAAAACAAATTTTGGGACTGAAATTTAATTTCTCGAAATTTCATTAAATTAAGTAAGTAGTAATCTTTTTACCAACGTTTTCTAAAAAAAAACTTCAAAAATAATTTCATTCATTTGTGAATAAGTCGTGAAAGTTTCATTAAAATTCGACAATTATTTGATTTTTGTAAGAATATCAAAATCAATGTTTTTCACGTAATTATTACGTCGACTGCTGAAGTAAAGAAACAAGATTTTTAACAAAAATTTCGAACGTGCCATAGTTGTCACACAGTGATTCGTTTGGAAATATTTTTATTTCTTTGCGGCATGTAATACTAAAATGTTTTTGTTATGGCTTTTTATTTCCAAGGTCTTTCTTGTTTGTTTTACACATTCAACAGCTTCCATTAGACACGATGTCAGCGCAAACATCACCACATTTCTCCTGGAGCAAAATCTTCATAATAGTACCGAGTTTCTGATTTTGTAACAACATGAAGTGGGTTTAAATTGCTAAGTAAAATAAAAAGCAACTCGGTCTTTTTTTTTTTTTTTTTACTTTGGAAGTCGTAATTACCTCCCCTTGGCTAATAAGTGGGATTTTTCTTTTGAAACACCGTGTATTTCCTTTTATTCCCTGTACTGCAATCATGCCTAGTCGTTTTAAAAGTACGTTCTCTTAAATTCAAATTTTTCAGTATTATTTTGTTAGTCTCGTTTGGAATGTTCTTAATTCTTGATTTTATGCCATTTCAGACAAACAGAGCAAAAGAGTCAAAGCGAAACTACGATATAAGATCGAAAAGAAAGTAAGTTGTTTTTTTTTGTACTCTGACACCACCACGTGTTATTTTTTCGTAACTTAAAAAGTTCAAGGTCTATGTACTGAAGTAATTTTGTTAGAAATTCAACCTAGAAGACGTTACCTTTTTATCGCTTATATTTTATGCAACGATAAGTTTTAATATTCCTCGAATTATATATAAACTACTTCTCGAAACAAACAAAGTTGTATCGAAATTATTATTTTTTAATTGCCTGTCCGTCGTTATCGTTTCAAGCAAAAAAAAAGGAAATATTTTAACTTTTAAGATTTTTAATTTAGCCATACTAACAAAGAACACTTTTTGTTAATTTTTTTTCCTGATTATTGCCGAAGTTGATTTTTTTTTGTTTTCAATGTCGCATTTATTAAACAATCTGTTGATTCCCTCCCAAGCATGTTTCTATCGAAAGTTTGTTTTTCTACCAGACCTAATGTCACTGTTAATTTTTGTTGTTGCAATTACCTTAACTTTTAAAATGAATATCTTCCTAAAAGCCGATTTTAACAAAAGATAAATAAAAATCGAAATAATTTGAAATTAAGAGTTTAAGGGTTATTTTGATTTAATACCCATTAAGTAAACGAAACCTAAGTTGTAATGGTCCATTACAGCTTAGGTTTACGTTTTAAAAAGAGGTCGTTCATTTAATGGACGATATTCAAGATTTTTAATTTTCTTAATTTTTTTTTTTTTTTAATGCTAAATTCACTTGAATCTTCCCGACATGACTACATAGAGCTGACCATGAGCGAAACATTTGATTTGAATAATTTTCTAATATTCGTATTTAATTTAAACAATTACTTCAGAAGACTTACTAATTTTTCATTTGTCTATTTCAGTACTGTTTTTAGAAAATCTAATTAAACTTAAAATTCTGTAATTTCTTCCCACTCTGCTTGACTAATTTGTTGCACTGTGAAATGACAGACAAAAATGGTTACTACAAACGCTGCAGGAAATAAGATCGTAACTAACGTTGCTGGACACAAAATTATAGATTTTTATAAAAACTTTAATGGTGGGATTAGTTACTTCTTTAAACATTTGGTATTCATTAACCAAGCGATGTTACTGTCACTTGAAATTTATAAAAATTTTCTCTTAAAACAGTTTTTTCAGTTTTTTTTTTTTGTTTTATTTACTGCATGTACACTTTTACAAAAAAAACTGTTGAAAATTTCTTTTGACTCTAAGATAGCTAAAAGCCAGTCTGGTACAGTAAGTGTTGCAAAACACTGCTTATCTCACGGCCCATAAGTTCTCCAAAGTCCCTCTCACAAAGGAAATTCAAGGAGGGAAGGCAGGCCTTAAGTAACAAGGTGGCAGACCTGCTCATCCCACCCCTTCCAGTAAAATGATTACAAAAACCGGAGCTTGGAGCAGTCTTGCTTTGGAAAATCAGCATGGCAAATACTCTACCTCCCATGTCTGACTGAAACCTATACACATGTAGATATTTACACTTATTTAAAAAAAAAAAAAAAAAAAGATTACATTTATTTAAATGTAGTCAGCATCATCACCAGTTCTATGACTTTGTGGTTGTAGGGCCTGCTCAGTATCATCACCAGCTTCTTCCATGTCTCCTTTTTTTCTAATTAAAAAAAAACATGAAAAATCTAGTTCAAAGAAATGTCTAAGGTAACATTTAATTTATAAGGCCAAGAGCACACAACAAAGACATGACATGAGCTGAGTTTAAAAAACGCAGATGTTAAATTTATTAACACACAAAAAATGAAAGAATTACACAAATTAAGTGTGTTGTGTTCCAAATGATGGCCAATAACATGTATGTACAAATAAACACTATAAATAAAATATGTCTCTTTTACAATAAAAATGACTATGCTGCATAAGGTACCCAGAAAAGGTAAACAACATAAAAATAAATGAAAAAAGTGGAAACAATACTTGTCTGTATAATTTTCAAAGGATCAGTACAATGTTCGAAGCAAAGTTTGTGGTAACAGCGAAGAACAGAACAACAATCACACCAGCTGAAGAATTTTCTTTGATGTGGGAATGACTTTGATGTTCCTTTCAAATTCTTGTCTGGGGGTTGTCCAATTTCTTCTGTGTTGTTTTTTTCCTTGACTAAGCCAACCTGGGTTTCTGCAGCAGCCATTCATTGACTTGTCAAATTCAATTTTGTTTATGATTTTATTCAAGATAGGCTCTAGATTTGATTCTCAAAATTTGGAAGAAAACCTTTTGATTCGTTCCAAGTGAAAACCAAATGCTGTTATTTACCACAAATCAGAATGGTCCAAAAATATTTTTGAAATTCAAGAGTTTAAGCAAGACCCGAACACAGCATTTGTTTTCTCTCAGAAAAGTAGACAATATACACTTGAGCAGCTTAAATTTCTTATACTGTAGGCATTCATTCATCTGTAACATGTCTAGTAGACATGGTAGAGACCATCAGTCTCCAGGCCGGACTACATCGATGTCCTCTGGCATGAAGGCCCAGCTTAAGATTTGAACATTGATACCATTGCGGGAGCTCTCCACTCTGGTTGTTGACTTCAGTTTGGGAATGCTTCTGACCAGTGATGCTGTCTCATCATTACTCTGCATATACTGTCAGTAGTTCGGTCACATGTGTAGATTTAGTTAAAACCTGCTGTTAATTAATGTTTCTCAGTTAACTCCACACTGGTGGGAATCTCAGAACCATTACATATGAAGTTGCCCACATAGTTTAGTGCCAGAGGTGGTGATCTGTTTTTTTGTTTTTTTTATTGAACATCTAAGTCAAATCATTGTGAAATGTAGCGCCAGTTACACTATTGATGTAGAAAATTGTAAATCTAGTTTTACGCTAATTTATAAAACATACTTTTTTTTTTTTTTTTTTTTTTTTTTCTAAGTATCATGAACTTAAATAAAAATAGTGTCTAAGATAAAATATATTAAATTCATCAATATAAACATAAGACATTTATGAAAAAAAATGAAATTTTATGTTCACTGGACCATGAAAATATTAATTCTAAAATTAAGGAATGATAATTAGTTAACAGGAAATAATCAAATAGAACAAGATCTATTGAATAGGGCATGTAATAGAAAGGGAATCCAACATGTATATGGATTTTATATATATTTATGTCAGAAGATAAAAAACAAATAGGAAACATTTATCTAGCATGTTTCACTTTTATTAAAGCTTCATCAGAGAATGAGATATGGAGAAAGAAAAGAAAGAAATTCTGGTATTTTTTTTTATTTTGGTCTTGTTTGATATTCATTCGTTAATCATGTTTCACAAAAGTAAAAAATACTAGAATTTCTTTCTTTTTTTTCCATATCTCATTCTCTGATGAAGCTTTAATAAAAGTGATTGATAAACATTTCCTATTTGTTCTTTATCCTATTCTATTAGATTACAATCTATATTTGATCCCAATTCATTTACTTATTTATATAACTAAGTGTAACATAACTTGGAAAAGGAAGGAAACATCCCATAGTTTGCTTGGGGGCTAAAAAAAAAAAACTTCCCCAAAGGGAAAACAAGATATCTTGTCACTATGGTATTTTTATGTCAACAGCCTCTGACATGTTTTGAAAATTAAAACTTGTGATAAATTTTTTTTTTTTTTTTTAAGTCATTACCGTTTTTTTTAAGGAAATGGGTTTAAAAATTTTAGGTTCAAAATAATGTTGAAATTTTATCTGGTGATGAGTGAAAAGCCTTATAAAATTTATAATTTACTGAAACGTCACAAATTGTATATTGACCAGATGCATGGCACAAGCACACTATTACTAAATCATTTTGCCATCAAATAAGACCTTCATTTACTTCAAAGGGAAATTATACTGAACAATTTTGCTATATTATGATGTAATAGGTCATACAGTGCAGTCAATGAACAATGCAAATTTAAAACCTTCTATCTTATGATTTGTGCCGAGCAGTATTATGGTATTATATACGCTTTTATCTATTTTTTATTAATTATGATCTTTTTTGTAATCTTTTACAAATTTTTTTTTTACAGTTTTTACTTATCAAATACAATGTTTTTTTTTTTTGTTTTTTTTTTTTAAATGCATATTTTGCTTGTAGTGATTCATAACTAAAATTCTGATTTTAATATATTTTCCATTCAGTGTATCTAATGCAAAAGATATCAACTTTATTTGGATTTATTCTTGAAATACTAAATTTTTTAATTCAGTTTGTAAGCAAAAACCTGCGAAAATTAGGTATTTCTGTATATATTTTTTTCAGGTGATATTTAAAACTAAATGTTCAAAAATTGTTGAAAGCTTTGAATCTATTTTTGGTGTCAGTGTTTATCACATCAACACCCTAGCTTTCACACCAAGTGTAATTTTGTTTAGTGTAAAATCAACCTGCTCTATTGTACATGACCATTATGCACAAACTCTCAGTCACCTTGACTTGTGACTTAGTGCAAGTGTAACTATTAACGTCTTCTAAACAGTTTTGTTTACTCAATTTCACTAAGACAGCTTGAGTCAACCTGTGATATGATTTTGAACACATCTCAGTGGTGCTGCACTCTGGGATCCTCTCTCCTACAGTTCAATATTATCATAATACCACCTCCTTGGGTTGTGTGTGTGTGTATATATATATATATATATATATATATATACACACACACACACACACACACACACCCCTTCTGTCAGGATTAATAGAAAATACAGTGTTAACATATACAAAATAAATCTTTATATTACACATACACATTGGGAGGAAACAAATATTTGTACACCTACAAATTTCTAATTTATTGTATTCCTAACTAATGAATAAACATACTTTTCATATAACAGATGCATAAGAACTAAATATGCATAGAAAACCAAAAAAAAATTTGATTTATGAGGCCATTCAGGAGAGTTGCAGTAGATTCCGAAGTCGTTTGGAGGCTGTTGTTGAAGCCAGTGGCTTTTTATTTAATTCATTTTGATCCCCAAACTAGGATGTTAATATCCTGGTTGGCATGGTTTCTGATTGGTTGGTCAAAACGTGGCTTTATGGCCTAGCAATTCTGAATATATATCTATTTTTAGAGATGGGGAAATTTTGGTTCCCTTGTTATTGTTTGCTTATTTTTATTTATTTATTATCTCTACATAGAAATCAATCAATTTTATCTTTTCATTCAGAACTAGCATCTTTTTCATCATATACAAAGTAACAGTCAATTACTCTAAATAGTTTTAAAATAAATCTTATTCTTATTGATAATGTAAAGTAAATATTTTTCTGTGTGTCAATCTATTGCTGCTGAGAATGAAAATAAAAGTGAAATGTCTTTTCTTTTTTTCACCTTAAAGGTTAAGGAACATAAACGGAAAGTCAAGAAAAATGCCAAGAAGAATCCAATCAAGCGTGAGTAAATTTAAACCTTTTTTTTTTTTTTTTTTCTTTTTTCTTGGGGAATACACATGGTAATGGATTGGTAAAATTTACATGTTACCTTCCCCATCTTGCATAGTTTTTTTTTTTTTTTTACAATCATTTCCAATACTGATTCTACAGGTTTTCCTTCAAAAATTTCTTTGAACAATTGAATTCCTTCTCCATATTCTTGATGAGATTAACACCACATTATAAAGTATCCATTCTTCAGCTTTTATCAGCTGTGTGTATGTCATGTTTCCTGCTTTGTATCCTGTAGAGCTGGGTCCAAACTATGGTCCTTAGGCCTTATAGGAGAATTGTCATTTATTTGATAGCACTTTTAGTATATGGAATGTTCCTAGTAAGGCGATCTTCTGCACAACTTGTCTGTTGATGTTACTGGGACACTGTTAGTAAAATCATACATTCCTTTTATCACCAGGCTGAGAGCTCTGATCACTATTGATACAATCTGTTTTCATTTCCCACATGCTGTTTATTGCGATTGCCAGGTCTTGTATTTGGAGAAGTTCTTGATTCATAGAGGTGTTTCTCTTGGATGATACAGCTATTCCAATAAGCATACACTCCCTGAATTTCTTGTCTTTTATGATAATATCAGGTCTGTTGGTTTTTATTTTCCTGTCAGTTTGAATTTGTGTGTCCCATAGGATAGTTACATCTTTATTTTGAGTAACTGTGTCTGATTGGTGCTCATACCACTTCTCAGTGGTTTCGATTTTGTGCTTTTTGCATATCTTCCAGTGCACATATGTTGCTACCTTGTTATGTTTGTGGGTGTATTCATTTTTTGCTAATTCTGAACATCCTGAGATAATATGTTCAACAATTTCATCATGCTTTCTGCAGATCCTGCATTTCCAGTTAGTCAAGGATGGAACTATGTGACAGTGATAGTTGTTTGGCTTTGGTCCTGAGCTGTAATAATTAGGCCTTCTGTCTTAGCCTTTAATCAGTGTTCCTCAGCCACTGATGCATTTTCTGTTGGTCCACATCTGCTTCTTTTGTTCTTTTTATGTATTTGCCATGCAACACCTTGTCCTCTAAGGTTTTTTTTTGTAATTTCATTTGGCCAAGTTGTTTTGCTCTCTGTTTTATTTGTTTGGTGTAGATGGTATTTGCTTTGTTTTTTTGTTGGTAGGATTTCAGGTATATTAAGCTGTTTCTTGAAAAGTGCAGCAGCTTTGTTGATGGAGTGGATTTTGTGTTTTACTTACTAGGAGAGGGTCATTGGTTTTTGTGAGGTATGCTTCCAAACCAAGTGTTGTAGTTTTTAGAGTTAAAGTTGGATTAAAGCTACGTACAGCCTATCAACATCTGATTTCAGGCGATACATCTTCATTTAAGTAAGGATTTTTCTGATCTTGGTGTCCAATCTTTTAATGCCATTCAACTTCCATTTAATAATGTTGAAGTTCTATGTTATTATGGGTATATGTTGATAGCCTTCATTTCATTGGCCCCATTAAGTTCGCTTTCTAGTATCAAACGCACTCTGCAGTAATATTCTTTTGGATTATTTTGTTTATAATTGAATGTTGTATTCTGTCGCCTTCATTAATTCCAAGTATTTGTATGGACTATCTTGGTCTAGTTCCTTAATCTTGTTGATATCAAGGTCTAAATCTAGTTTTTGTTAGTTTACCACCTTTGAAGTTGGCTTTGGCACATTTATCGATTCATTATCTTAATGTCTTTGCTGAAGGTTTTGACAATGGTGATTAGGTTTTTCTGCTGGTTGTCATCCTTGTCAAACGTTTTAAGATCATCAATATAGAATAGGTGATTCAGTTTGCCATTCTGTGACTTGTATCCATAGCTACTGTTTATCAGTAGGCAGCTGAGTGGCTCTAATGTGAGGCAGAGGAGTCATGGTGACAATGAATTACCTTGAAAAATCCCACTTTTGATGTTGATTAGTTTGTCCTTGCACCTGTAACTTCCTCTTTTACATCTCTTCTGCTGGGAGTAAATTGTTTTTCTCCAGGAAGTTGTATATCCCCTCAGTTATATTAGAAGTGAGAATCTTGTACATTGTTGGTAAGCAGGTGATGGGCCTATAGTTCTTTGGGTTGTGTGTCTCTTCCGGTTTTGGGAGTAGGTATGTTACTTCGCATGTAAGCTGTTTGGGGTATTTTTCTGGGTTTATGATTATATCATTGTATGCCTGTCGGGGTCTTGGTGGGTGCTAGATAGTTTTTTATCCAAAAATTGACTATTCAGTCTATTTCTGGTGCTTTCCCGTTCTTGGTAGCGATTGTTTCAGTAATAGTGATATCCATTTTTGGCACTCTATATATGATTATTGTGAGTGTTGTTTCTCTTGCTGCTCGATCCATGTAGCTGTTTCATTGAGGAGCTTTTTACAGTTTTCCCCACATACCAAAACTCCTTGACTTACTGGATATTAGGTGGGTCATTTATCTCTCTCTTATTTTTCCCCATTATCATTATTACTATCATCATTGTTATTATTATTTTATTTTCTTTGATTTCTGGTGTATACTCATTTCTTTCTGGTCAGAAATGGCATCATGACATTTTACACTGAGTATTTTTTAAGGAGGAAAAAAAAACACCATTGTTATTCTTATTATTATTACTACTACTACTACTATTATTATTAACATTATTATTTATTTTTCAGGTAAAAGAAAAGATCCTGGAATTCCTAACAGTCTTCCATTCAAACATTCGGTTCTCAAAGAGGCTGAAGATTTCAAAGTTCAGGTAAGAGATTTGTTTTTTGACAAATTTGTGTCGATCTTTCTGTTTCCCTGTGATTGGTTGGTAAACAATAAAATAAGCCGGCTACACTTTCATATACAAAAATATTTTATGGCTTATTTAGTAATTCATTTATCATGAAGTAACAAAAGCAATTTTAATCCAAACAATGTACAAGAGGGGGTGCTGAAAATTATTGATTGTGGCAAAAAAGGAGAACACCAACTCTTACCTCGGAAAGAAAATTTGTGTTTTTTGTGCTGTCTATCGAAAAAGAAAATCTATCAATCTTTAGATAAGAATAGTGAAGCTTGGGCTGTTGCTTTACATATCTCAAAGGCATTTGACAGGGTTTGGCATACTGGTCTTCACAAGTTGAAAGGTTATGGTATTTCTGGACAAATTTTTGAACCGACTCAATCATTTTTATCAAATCGTGTAATGAAAGTTGTCTTTAATGGCCACTCTTCTAGATCTCTTTGCATTAATGCTCTATCTTTGGAAATGCATTGTTCCTAATTTTCCTTTCTGATATCATCAGTTCTCAACTCAGTATATGGCAGCTGATCTAAAAAGAATAACTTAGAATCTGTTGTTAAATGGGACAAGTAATGGCTTGTTAATTTTAACACCTCCAAAACGAAACTGCTCTCTTTTAATTGTCTGAGAGAACCCTTTTTACCTTCCATTAGTATGGCTGATGCTAACCTCCAGTAGAGTAACTCATTGTGCCTTCTCAGACTAACATTCTCCGCTGACATAAAGTGGAAAGATTATATTAAATCGGTTGCTAGGAAAGTTAGTCCAAAGTGTGGTGTTACACAATTTTTCTTGCCAGAATCTTCAATCTTTATAAGCCACCCATTCGTCGTTGCTTTGAATATTGGCACCACATCTGGTCTGGTGCTCCTACTATGTATTTAGAGATTCTTGATAAAATCCAAACAAAAATCTTCATTTGGCATTGTGGCTTCAGTTACTTTCCCACTGCTGCAACCTAGCTTCCCTGTGCCTATTCTATAAATACTTTCATGGTAATTGTGCTGGTGAACAATGGTATCTAAACTTTAAATGCAGTACTAGATTGGCAGCAAGGTTTCAACATTTTACAGTTGCATTGGCTAGATGTAACCATAAGTTCTATACTAACAGTTTTTTTATCACACTTCTCACTTGTGGAACTGCTTACCCTCTTCTTGCTTCCCAGTGTACTTTGATCTTCAAAACTTTAATGTCCATCATTATCTCCTGTCTTCTTAGTTGTTATTCTTTTATTGTCCTCTCTCCTTAATAGTTTTTTTTTTTTTTTTTTTCCTCATATTCTCTCACACTCCGTAATCCCTTATGTCTTAGTGGCTTTATTGCTTTGCTTGGCATGAAATGATTAAAAAAAAAATGAGGGATTGGGTTAACTTTAATAGGCCTCAAAATATGGTAATTGTTTGTGCTTGCCTACCAGTCTCTACCAACTGCTCCAAATAAAAGAAATCTGGTCAACTAGATTTTTTTTTTTTTTTAGCTCTTTGTGTGTGAAGAAGTAGTTGTTCATTGCAAGTTGAGATATGACTTTTTACCGTTTTGATTTATGGCCCTGGTATTTATTGATGTTATACTTGCAAGACTGGTTTTTGGCACATGGGCTTTTTTTTTCTTTTGTGGTAGTGTTGGGTCTGAATGTACCTATTGCTATTTAACCTTTAGCACTCCACAGGTGATCTTTTTCACCAAGCAAAATGTTCATCCTGCCAATGCAAGTTGAATTTAAATTTCTTGGTTGTGTAGTCACATCCTTCTATGGCAACACTTAAAACACTGTTGACTGAAATTGAATGCCAGGCTACTGTAATTTCAAATATACAGAACTAATATATAAAACCCTATGTTTTGAGGGGATTCTATGTAAAGAAAGTGATATTTATAAATGATGCAGAGTGCTAAACTTAACTGGTGCAACAAAGAAGCTTGGCCAATAAAAATTTTGATATTTTTCCAGAATATTTAGTGGTTTGAGTCAAGAATTTTTCAGTGCTTCCTTTTTAATCTTTGAACTTTTGCCTTGTAAAATAAAATGCAGAATTATTTTCTTTTAACCTCAGAAATTTCTACATTTTTTATTTATAAAGATTATTGTTCAAATCATGCACTCATTTCATTTTGCATGAAAATCTTTTATCTTTTTGTCTTGTAATTTTAATTAGAAATGACTTGTTTTCTTTACAAATCAACTTTGAACATGATTCCTTTTTTTTTTTTTTTTACTCCAGTTAAAAGCCGAGAAAGAACAGCGGCGTAAAATGGAACGTGATGCTGCTTTTAATAATTCTCGTTCTTTAGAAGAAATAATGAAGGATGTGGAAAAAGATGGTGACATTTTCTTGAGGAAGGTTTGTTATTGAAATTTTTCATAATGTATAGATTTTTTTTTTTTTTTTTAATCTTTAAAAACTCAAAAATAATATTGAATCATGGTATAAAGAATTGCATTTTTTTTCATATATGTAATGAACAAAATTTTCAGTTTTTGATTGAAAATCTTTTACAATCTTTCTTTTTCCTTGTTTTATCTGTTGTTGTAAATTGAGTTTTATATTAATTTTTTTCTTGTGTTTTAAATGTAAACAAACCCACAAAAGAGAAATGATGTAATTTTCAACATTGTATATTATTTTTATTTTTTTAATGCAGCTTTGATGTCATTTTTATTGTCATGAGTCATAACAGCAGAAGTATGTCTAGGTCAAGATAACCTAACAGTGCCAATCCTTCTTTGGGCTAGTTTTGAATTCATCTTTACTTCTCTCAGAAACCACAGAACTTGTAAATAATTTTGAACAGACAAAACTGCACACCCCCCCTTTTAAAGATAACCATAACACCTCATCAGAAAACTCCTTAGCGACTTAGTAAAATGTTAATGAGATTCACAAAGTAATAAATAAACTGGGAGGAAATGAGGATCTATGACTAAAATACAATTTATTAAAATATAGTCTGAATCGTTTTCAAGTGAGAGCAAGATCTAAAAGATTAGCCAGTGACCTCATCCCACAATCCTCACTGTTGCCCCATATTAAGTCCCACTTAAGATTATCACACACAATTCATAACTGAAACAATTGGTTAAGTTGTCAGATCCTCATACGTCAAAACTGACAGGAGAGTCCATTTTATAAATGTGAACATTGAAGTCAACACTCAGATCCTCTGAGTGTTGACTTCATTGTTCACTTTTATATTTACATACTCTCTGATATTGAGCACTTCATTCCATAAATATACCACACCTTAAAATTATATTCATTATATGTGTATATATATATTTGAATTTCGAATTTGTAGGTCTGATGAATTGGATTGTGATTACAATGTAATAAATTATAACCATGGAATATTAGTGAGCCTTTTATATATATATATATATATATATATATATATTGAACAGACACCCCACACACACACACCAAAAGGTAATCTTTATCGGGCAGCACCTCATCAAGAGGCAACTTAGTAAAATGTTAACGAGATCTGTAAAGTAATAAACAGACTGGGAGGAAATGAGGAACTACGTCTACAATTTAATATGAAATGGGAGAAGAAAAAAAATTAAAAAGGGAACGGAAGAGAAATGGCAAAAACCAGAATAAATAGTTGCAGTGATTATAAAAAGGAGAATTAAGGCTAACAATCTCCCCAGCACAAATAAAGAAAACAGATAAATTTCTCTTTCTTTCAGCACAAAGACAGTGTAAATTAATATATCCTGCCTATAAAGTATGTAGATGTTTTGCCAACTGTGCTTTTCCCAAAATGGAAAACATCAAATCTGTATATTTGTATGCACAATCTGGATTGTCTAAAAGGTTCTGTGGCATAAATTTTAATTTTTATCTGATTTTAAGAATTCTCCCTGATAACATTCATTTTCTATATAAAGAATATTAGCGCATTCCAGATATTAACAAACAAAAAGTTTTTATTAAAAGTAGATACTAATGTTTACCATTTTTTAAATTCTTCTTATATTTTCAATTTAATCAGGAAATGTTAATCTTGCCATGCTAATGGTTCATTCAATTTTTTTGCCAAAAATTGACGAAAAAAAATTAATTTCCTTTGTTTATTAAAGTAAAAAAAATTGTAAAGGTATGAATCCAGCTCTTCCACCCTCAGCTATGGGTTAATTAGTAGGATTGTATCACTAAACCATTATTATCTCCAAAAAGAATTCTTACTATCTAAAAAATATCTTGTGGCTTTAAATGAAACCTGTAAAGGGTTGATAAGTCATAAAAAATGAATCGGTAAATAATAATGTTTAAAAATCTGAATGTTTTCACATTTAGAGATAAATAATACAAATATCTAAATTTAAGACCTTCAACCTTCATTTTTCATTTGGAAGTGCTTAAGTTTTTATGTTTTTTTTTTGTGTGTGTAAATATGTGCTCTATTTATTAAAAGTCAGGAAGTGAGGACTTTTCTATTTTAAGAAATTAGTGGTTTTTTGATTAACTATAGAGAAAGTTAAACATTTTATGTCCTCCAAAAAAAACTAGTTGCCACAAACTAATGTGTTATTGTCTCCAGTGTAACAGGAGAGTCGCCCTGGTTGAGTTCTACTACTGCATCGGAAGTGATTTGTCACTTGAGGTATTGAGAGACTTAATAATTGTGAGCAAAGAAGTAGCGATATTAGGAGAAAAATATGCAAGAGTAAATTTTGATAACTTAGAAGTCCAGGCCAAAATTGAAAAGCACTTCATGGGTAATATAACAGGAGGTCCTTGGCATGAGAAAGTAATTAATCATATCTATTCCTGGACTGCACTCTATATACATAGAGCATGCACATGCAGATATCAGTTTTTGATGTCTTCTCAGTGTGTGCACTGAACACTTGCAAGTTAACTGGTTGCTTCTTTGTGCATTAGAGAAAATCCACTGTAGAAGTTATTCACTGCTAAGACTTGCATTATTTAACAAATGGATGTCTTTCAGTACCTCAAGAGTAGAAAAGAATTGATTGGGATGAAACAGTGTCATTGTTGTTGTACAATTTATAATTAGATTGTTGATAATTTTCCAACATGGTCACCCTGGCATTGAAGAAAAAGTATAATTGAAATCTTATCCTGATCAACAAAGTCACAGCCTGTCATTTTCTAACAGGTACACAACAAACAGAATCCATTAGACAACATGGATTCTTGTCAAAGTGGTAATCTTGGCCTGGCTTCCTGGTCATATAGGTATTAAGGTAAATCAAAAAGCTGATTTACTGGCAAAGGAGGCAACCAAAGTGACAATAACCAGCGTTAGACTTCTATAGACAGATTACAAAAACAAGATCACACCATATGTTAAAAGAAAATGGCAAACAATTTGGGATACAGTTTTCAAACATCAAACTGTACAAACATCAGTTGACAGTCAGACTGGAAAATAGAGAACTGTTACCTGATTGAAGACAGAACATGGTGCTAAGCAGAGTCCGAATTGGACATATGCATCTTACACACAGATACGTACTCAAAGCAGAAACTGCACCTTGGTGCATCTCTTGTTATCAATTGCACACTGTAAGCACATCCTTATTGACTACATAGAATACCAAAAAAACGTGCAACAAATACAATGATGTACAAAACCTTACGATGCTTTTCAAAAATCTTTCTCAAATAATAGGCTATCTGAAAGAAATAAGCTGCTTCCAATACTTATAGAAAAAAGCACATCTTATTATCTGTAAAATATATCTCTAAAAAAAAAATTACATTTAACCTGTGGTTGAAGCAATAAAGTTGTGTACAAAATATTTGGATTTTGGCATTGAGTGACCCATGGAGGTTGTCATACTGCTGGACAAAATCAACCAACTGTTTTGGCACTAATGACCCATGCCAGTTAAATAACCAACCAATCAATCTGGTGAAGGAAATGAACCAGTGAAATTGAATGTAATTCAACTTCAACCAAGTATAGCCATACGTATGATATTTGAAACCTAAACATGTGTTGATTTTGGTGACTGGCCAGGGGTTGGGTTATAACTAGGACAACATTATGTTTGGCACCTGGATATTGATATTATGGAAAGATGTAAACCTCTGAGGGCAGAATATAAAATACCTTCTTATATAGAACACAGTCACTGCAATTATTCGACATTAAAAAAATATAACTTCTTAAATGTCCTTTGATACTTCCTTTTCGTCGAATTAAGAAATACAGCATTTAATATGAATGCTTGTGATTGTCCTGGGTATGATGATAAACTATATCTGGCAGCAAGGCCTCTGATCGGGTGGTTTTGAGGAGCGTGGAATCACCTCTTAATATCTGTTGTCCTCGGATCCATCCTAATCTGGTCAGTAGCACCTGTTAGGGTCCCAGCTATTGACAAATAGTTAACTCCCAAACTGGGGTCAAAACATTATGAAAGTATAAAAATACATTTTTATAGTAAAAATACCAGCAATATATTTTCATAGTAAAAAAAGCATAGCAATACATTTTTTGTGAAAAAAAAATATTACCAGCAATATATTTTTGTGAAAAAATAAATAAATAAATAAATTTTACCAGCAATACATTTTTGTGAAAAAGTAAATGAATAAATTTTATGAGCAATACATTTTTGGGAAGAAAAAAAAAAAAAAAAATATATATATTACCAGCAATATATTTTGCTTAAAAAAAAAGTTTATCAGCAATACAGTTTTGTAAAAAAAAAATTACTAATGCTTCCAAGAAAATTAAATTTCAGCATATAAATGGCTTATAGAGAGTTGATATGCCACAAAACAAAGAAACGAACCAATACTTATTAGAATGTTTTATAACTAATCGCTGATAGGGGTGAGATTTGTTGAGCTTGAACCAGAATTGCAGGTGCAAGTATCTATATCTCCGTATGTTGTAAAAATGAATTTCTTCAATTAAATATTTGATATTTTTAATTGCAGACAGGAGGATTGCAGCATGTTTACGATGCCTTGAAAGAAGCAAAACCAAAAGCAAAGAAACCGATTGAAAACTCATTGAAAACCTTTTACAAAGAATTTAAAAAGGTGAGTTTGCAATACATGTTTACAGTGGTGATTGTCCCCAATAGCTAAGAGCTAATCAAACATGTGCCTGCCACGTGTAAAGAAATGCAAAAAAAAAAAAATATATATATATCTATTATGGAACTCAATGTATATGTGAAAGTAAATAAGTTAACAAAAAAAGAGGAGGATCAGTTCCTTTTTCTTAAACTTATAAATGCCAAGAAAAGGTTTGCACAAATATGCATGCCAAAGAGATAAAAAAAAAATAAATTTTGTAAAGGCAAATTCTTATGCTTATTTTCACTTTAATTCTATGCAGAAATGATAAAAGGAATATTTTAACTTTTAGATTATGAAAAATAATAAAACAAATGTTAGGTTTGTAAATGTAATATATTTAACAGTATGGTACTCCTTGAAACATTTTTAGGCTGTATGATACTCCTTGAAGCATCCTGTGCACAATGGAGTATGAAATGTTGTGAGCATAACAATAAAGATGAGGATAACAGTCTGAACGAGGTAAATAGTCATTTCGACTTGGATCCTGAATGAATAATACCATGTTCTTAGTAAATGTTTAAATCATGAATTTATATCTGCTTATCTCCACTAAAACATCAAAATTGATGATGTCTGTTGTCTAAGGGTTAAATCTCTTCAGCTTGTCTTCCAGCCATTGCGAAATACCATTAAGCTGATAGATTCTTCTTTTTTTTTTTTTTTCTTTTTTTTAAGTTACTAGTTAACCTAGACATTTGTAAAGTTTGGTTTCATCTATTGCAGGTTATAGATCAAGCTGATGTAATTCTTGAAGTGTTGGATGCCAGAGATCCTCTTGGGACTCGGTGTAAAGAAGTTGAAGATACTGTCATCAGTGCTGGCATTAACAAGAAATTGGTTCTGGTGCTCAATAAAATTGGTAAATTTTTTTTTGTTTTAGTTTTATAATCATTTACTCATACAGGTTTCTACCAAAAATTCTATTGCTCTTAGGTATTTAATACAAGGAGTGGTGAGGATTTTTCTCTATGCAATAAACGGGGGTTGGTTTTAATAATTGCTAGAGGGATTGGAAAATTATTTAAAGGGACAAAAATTGAAGTAAATAAACTTTGTACAAAAAAAATAAATTTTTTTTTTTTTTTTTTTCAAAACCCCTACTGTAATATCTGACTTCATCTGTAGGACTTTTTGCATTTTTCTGATAGCAGCACATAAAGAAGCCCTTGCAGAATTGGTATACAAAAAAAAAAGTTTATATAAATTAAATATTGAGTTGCAGAAAAACCATATGACAGGTTGACCCAAGCCTTGTGAGTGAAATTGGGTAGATGAAACTGATCAGAAGCTGTTGAGCTGTCTCACATGAATTTGGGTAAATAGAATCTCTTTAACTTTGGTTGGCAATCTGTCTGAAGATATTGTCTCAGTAAAACCACACGCCCACTTACAAGGATATATAGGCTTTTTTTTTTTCTTTTTGTTTCACACACATGAACACATTTGTATTTTAAAAAACATACATATATATGAGAGAGAGAGAATTAATATAAGTGAAAGATTTGTCACTTAGCTGATTGATGTTACCTTCAGCATCCCAACACCAGAGTTTCGTAGATTAACCTGTCCATCCACTCGTCAGTTGACTGCTTAGACTTCTTAATTTTTCTTTTTGATATGCACTTATCATTTACACTAACTCTAATTTTTTTTTTTTTTTTCTTTCTTCACCTGTAGTCATTTGTTGCTATTTGATTTTTGTTTTTTAAGACATGTCAGTTTTTTTTTAATTTTTGAGCATTCTTGTCTTTTCTTGATTTAGGGAAATTGTATTTCATTTTTTACATAAATAATTTATATTGATGCATGAATGATAGAGTAGATATTTATATGTCTTCACTTGGCTATTATTTCATTATCTTATTTGGTTTGGTGGTATCTTAAGTATTGTAGGTGGTTAGGTTTATAATTGAATTTTTAATTGTTATTTATTGAAAGTATGTGCATATGTCTGTATTCATACGTTTACACATGTGCACATATACAAATACGCATGTGCAAGTACATGTACACTTGCATTTGTGCTTTATTAATAAGCTAGTGCTTAAATAGTAGTTATTTTTTTCTATTTTTAGCATATTGGGTTTATGAAGTTTTTTCTTTGCTGTTTGAATATATGTATATAGAGTATACAGTATATATTCTCCTACACTTATGCACACACAAGTAATTTTAGATAGTGTATATGTAGTAAATTAAGTATTTGCTTATATCATGTTATCAAGTATTATAGGAGGTTAGGTTAGTTCATCTGTAGTTGTTTGTGTGTATGTATATATTCATATGTACATACATGCACACAATGTGTATATTTAATGTTTATTAACAATTTCTTTTTAAATTTTATATTATTTCATTTATTTATTTAAAGTTTATATTATATTTGTTTATTTTTAGTTAGTGCCTAGATAGTAAAGTAAATATTTATATGCCTACATTTACCCATTATTTCAGTTTTCTTGTTTAAGAGTTTATTTTGGTTTTTAAAACTAATTAGTGCTAATTTTTCCTGTAAGCATAGTTTACAAATTTTACTGTTAATGCTGTATGGGGCTGCTTTTTTTATAATTTCCTATTTGATTTTGGTGGGGATATTGTTTTCTTTTTGGCTCCATATTTATTTTGATAAGGTTGTATTGTTTGTCTATTTTTTCTTTCAAAGGACATTTTGTGGTTATAATATCTTTTTAACAAAAATTTCTGTGGCTCCTATATAATTTTTTTTTCGTTTATATTATAATAGCTTTGTATATTATGTTATTGGTTAAACATTTATTTTTAAGTGGCCAATTTTCTTTGTTTCTGCAGTTACTTTTGATTGATGTTATTATTGTAATTGTTATTGGTCTTGAGTACTTTTTATTGTGCTTATTTATTATTTTCTCCATGTTATCCATGCAACTGTAACTAATTTTGATTGTATTCTTATTGATAATTTAGTGTTTTTAGGGAAGTGTTTGCTAATTGTTTTTTGGGGGATATTTTCCCTATTATATTTCTTTTTTTTTTTCTTTTTTGTTTACATTGTTTTTATTTTTGTATTCTAGTTTGTTTCAATATCCACTGTTTCTTACGTGGATTCATGTTTTTTGTTTTCATCGAATATTTTTAAGCTACTAGGATTTATTGAAATTCTTTTATTTAGAGATATGGATGTTTGTTGGAATATGTGGGCAGGTGGTTGGGATTTTTGTTAATATATATTGGTTTGTTATTAAAATAAACTCCCAATCATGGACGTTCTTATGGAGTCAAGTAACAAAACTTTCACTACTTTGTTATATAAAAAACCCACAAGTAGAAACTCTTCCCACCTTAATTTTTACCAGTTAATGTCCTCTTAAATATAAAATAGGCATTCTGAAAAAATTTCCTCATGAGAGCGCATGAGAATTCATCCTCTCATCTTTAAAGAACTTAACAATGTGAAACGAACACTAGTCATTAACGATTTTCTAAATTAACACATAGATCACCAAATTAGACTTTTTCTTTCTAAGGTAACCAATAGCAACACTGAACATACAGATAATAACATTAACATTTTCTACAAAAATCGAATGCTTTGGTAACAATAAGCAGGATGAATTTTCCCTTAGAAACATTATGAAGAAATATACAATTTCAGTCGACAAAATCAAGAAAATTAAATTATCTGCTATAAAAAATTTTAAACTGTTAACCATAACAACAATAATAACTCACTTGCAAGATCCAAATTACAGAAAACCAAAATTATTTATGAATTCAGATTTCCCTTAAGTAACTGTGTTCTTGATTAAATCAAATTCATAAATAATTATATTGGATATACTGCAAACAGACACAAGAAAAAGATATCTAGATATATACATTAAACAATCCATACATTCAGTTAAGAGTAAAAAACAAATCATTGTTGATATTGGCTAAAAGTATAGCCAAAAACACTGACATACAGAACATTCAGACAACTTGTACATAAATTATGTCCAGAAAAGAAGAAAATTATAAGAACACAAGAAAAATTAAATAAAATTAAAAACTTTTTTAGCAAACTTGTGTGTGTATAGACATACTGATTTAGATCTACATAGAATATATTACATTTAAATCAACAGCAGGAGTTTTCACAATCCTGCTGGTGGTTAAAGGGGTTCAATACTGGATGAAGTTGTATTTAAACTCTGCCAATTTTTCTTTTGTCTGCTTTTGTATGTCACTTTGTACAAGAAATTATTGTTGCTCTTCTGTTCTTTTGAGTCTTGTATCTTCTCTTTCACTACACATCAGTGCTCAGCAAACATGTTGGCCTGTATGTAAATAATTGTGTCCTTGTTCGTTTGTATGTTTGGTTTTTTTTTTTTTCATAGGTACTATGATATCATTCACGTACACGTGTGTTTGTGTGCCTAACAAAAGGTATATCGTGAAATGCATTGTTTCCTTTTTGTAAGCCTCTATTTGACTATAAGGTGGCAACACTTGTAGAATACTTATGATGTTCTCTTTCAATACAACTGTTTGTCTCTTATTTTGTTTACCAGATAAGTTGTTTTTTTTGTTTTTTTTGTTTCTAGACCTGATCCCACGAGAAAATGCCGAGGCTTGGCTCAAATATCTGAAGAATGAGTTTCCTGTTATTCCGTTTAAGACATCTTTACAGAAACAAAAGTCCAATCTGGTAATTAGACACGTTTCCTTAATATATTTTGTCTTTTATTGTGCCTGAAGTTATTTCTTCATTAAAAATTCCTGTAACATAATAGCAAAATCTTTTTTTTAAGCCAGTGTTTTTAACTCCAAAATGTTGAATAAAACATTAGCTTTAGACAAAGACTCAAATTCAACTCGTGAGTCAAGGGCTGATTTTTTTTCATGAACAAAATAATTTTTATCATTAAACTAATAAAGTGTTCATGATCAGAAACAATTCTCATGTATAATTTTTCTGCCAAAATTGTTTTTCTTTTAACTTTTTAAGGTTCTGCGGTGAAGCATTTGCAGACCAAATATTCTAATTTGGTAATTTAAAAAATATTTACTTACCATCATAGAACATTAACCGTTTTATAATATAAATGGTCAAAAGGGTTTCTTTGGAAGTTATTGTAGAACTGTGTTCATTTCTTTAAGAGTTAAAATGATTTCTTGCAGACTTTGCACAAAATATAATAGAAATGTTAGAAAAAATTAAATACTTGAATATTTTTTGCTGTTGTGTGAAAGTGACTGGTATACTGACCAGAGTCATAGACAGTAGGGATCCAGTGTGGGAGATCTGTACTCATCAAGAAGTCAGAGTTCAAAGGATTAAGTAGTAATATTGAATATAATTTAAAAAAAAAAAAAAAAAAAAAAGGAGCTCAACTGATTTATAGATTCCCTCTCATCAGAGCTCAATTAAGAAAGAGAAATGTGTATAGCAACTAAAATGAAACTTGGCAAAGATTGGATGTTGTATAATAAATATATAAAAATCAAAGGCTAATTTATTCAAACCATTGCTGCATACAGAGGGCTGGCTGGCAGGACTTAATATAAATTGATTCTAAAACCTTAAGTGTAATCAGATTTTCACTAAGGTTTTAGTCACTGCACACATTTCTTGTCCTCAATCAAGCTGTCAGGAGAGAGGATTGATCATCTAGTTAGGTTGCTTTTTTTTGTGTGTGTGTTTTTGTATTTTAATATTATCACTTACATTATTTTCAGTAATATAAAAATTTTACTTTGTATTTGTTATGCCTTTTTTTTTTTTTTTGTGATTCTTTCATCTGTTTTATTATGTCCTTTTTTTTTCGCTTGTTTTATCATGTCTGTTTTATTCACTGTTAAATTTTGTACCACTTTTTAAAATATATGAAACGATTGAGATTAAAAGTATTTCTCTGATGCTGGCATCATGAACTTGTTGATTAGTAAATCCTTTAAGATATGACTCCAATAAGTATAGATAATTGCAGTTTATTTTTATTTTTTTTAGAGTCAGTCTAAGAATGTACCCATGTGGAAAGGCCTAGAGAAAAAGACTTCCAATTGTCTAGGCGCCAATATTATGATGAAATTGCTTGGAAACTATTGTCGCAATCAGGGCATCAAGACTGTAATTCGTGTTGGTGTTGTTGGCTTACCAAACACTGGTAAAAGCAGCATTATTAACAGCTTGAAGCGTTCTCGGGTCTGTGCTGTTGGTGCAACCCCAGGACTTACACGATCACTGCAGGAAGTTTCCTTGAGCCAATCTATCAAATTGTTGGACAGTCCAGGTGTTGTGATGTCTGCAAACCCTTCTGATACATCCCTGATTCTCAAGAACTGTGTCAATGTGCCTAATCTTGCTGACCCTACCATTCCTGTTGCAGCAATCCTACGCAGATGTAATAAAGATGAGTTAATGCTGCGATACAATCTTCCTAAATTCAAAAATGCTTCAGAATTCCTTGCTATGTTAGCTCACAAGTGGGGCTTCTTGAAAAAGGGTGGGGCACCTATTGCTGCCAAGGCTGCCAAAGTCATTCTCCAGCACTGGAACAGGTTTGTAGAAATTTCTTTTATTTTTTTTTTTATTTTTTTTTACAATGTAAAAATGTAGGAAATCTGAATGATGTTGACAAAATTGTGCTTCTTGACACATTGGACAATAAAAATTTAAAGTTGAGCAATTTTTAGTGTTTCATTCAATGTGTAACATTTATCATATTTTGTTCCCTTCCTCTACTTGTATAGGATTCTATCTATAAAAATATTATTTGGTCTGAAGAAGTCTTTTTGAAGTACGAAACATGTTACATAGAATTTTTTCTTTCCCTTTTATCATTCAATTACTTATATTTTCTCTTTCTGAAAATTGATTCCTTTATTCAGTTATGAATATTTCATGGAGGTTAAGAGAAAATAATTTCAGAGCAGGTTCATTAAATTCGTTTGAGTTTACCAAATGTAAAGGGACTCAAATACCCTTGGAAAAGGTATGAATCTACCTCTTCTCCCCAAGCTATAGGTTAATTAGTAAAACTTGTACCACTAGACCATTATTATCTCTACTACTCGCCCCTCCAATTCTTAAAAGGTAAAAATATTTTCTGGTTTTAAATAGCCTGCAATGGGTTGATAAGCTGTATAAAAATAAAAATATAAAAAAACTTAAATAATTTCACCACTAAGTTGGAATGCTGACAAGAATCTACAATAATTTTATTTAAAAAAGGGGGGACAAATTACTGATTTTTCAAATTTGTTTCTATTTAATTCATACACTCTATAATTATTTTGCAGTAGTTGGGTTTTTTTTTTTTCCCTTTGTAACAGAATAGCTTCATTTACATTTGGACTATTGTCTTCATCTTTGTTGCTATCGTGTTTCAGCTGTTGTGTCCTCTGGCCTTCATTGGGTGCTTGTCAATCCAGGTATCCTTCAAGGAATTTCAAACTGAACTCTTTATTTAATCTATGGGGATAAATTGCTTTTGTTCTGCTGTCCATGTCAAGGGATATCATGTCCAGTTCTTTTTTAGCACACTTACAGAGATATAAAAATTATCCATAGACAATGGTCAATGGAACAAAAACCATCTCCACTTGTAGATTAAATAATGGGTTCAGTTCAAAATTCCCTGACATTGGTGACATTCATTTTGGGGGTGATTCTTGTATTATAAATTGTACTAATTTCTTTTATTGTATTAACTTCATAGTTATACAATGAACGTACTGATATTATTAGTAATTCTTCCTCCTTACACCTACCATGTAGGTATTCAGGGAAATCAAAAATCTCATGCACTAGCAATGGAGGCAACCAAAGTGACAATAACCATAATTAGACTTCCATAGACAGATTACAAAAACAAGATCACACCATATGTTAAAAGAAAATGGCAAACAATTTGGGATACAGTTTTCAAACATCAAACTGTACAAACATCAGTCGACAGTCAGACTGGAAAATAGAGAACTGTTACCTGATTGAAGACAGGACATGGTGCTAAGCAGAGTCCGAATTGGACATATGCATCTTACACACAGATACGTACTCAAAGCAGAAACTGCACCTTGGTGCATCTCTTGTTATCAATTGCACACTGTTAAGCACATCCTAATTGACTACATAGAATACCAAAAAAAACGTGCAACAAATACAATGATGTACAAAACCTTACGATGCTTTTCAAAAATGTTTCTCAAATAATAGGCTATCGGAAAGAAAAAAGCACATCTTATTATCTGTAAAATATATCTCTAAAAAAACATACGTTTATCCTGCAAGTATAAAATTGTGTACAGAACATCTGTGGTTGAAGCCATAAAGGTGCGTACAAAATATTTTGATTTTGGCATTGAGTGACCCTTGGAGGTTGTCATGCTGCTGGACAAAATCAACCAACCAACTGTTTTGGCACTAATGACCCATAATGGTTGATGTACCAGTTAAATAACCAACCAATCAATCAATCCTCCTTAGTCCTTCTCTCAGAACATTTGAGAATTATCCAGTGATTATTTCAGATGAATAATCAGTTTATAACTACATGTCAGGTTTTGGGTATCAAAAATCTTTAAATTGTAGTGTTATCATAAATCTCTTGTGTTAAATTATTTGTAAAACTCATTTGTATTTTTTTTTATTTATTTATTTTTTTGTAGTGGTAAAATTTCATATTTCACTCACCCTCCAGAATTAGTATCCACACACATTAGTGCTGAAATTGTTAGTGAGATTGGAAAGGCCTTTGACTTGGACTCTCTTCTTGAAGATGAGACAAAAATTTTAAAAAGTAAGATCACTTTGTATTTTTATTATAACTATAGATATTTATATATCTTTTATCCACTTAATTACTAATTGTTCCACTCATTATTTTGTCATAGCTCTGAAACCTTGCAATCCGACTCATCTTGGAATTGAACCCTCATCTCCTGTGTCCTGTTTAATGGATGAAGATTCTGACAACCAATTGGTTTCTGGCGCTGATGTTGAAGCAATGAATGATGAAAATGAAACAGAGGATGATAACAAAAAAGAAGTAAGTTTGTTCTAAAATCAATTTAAAATTAGAATTGCCAGGCTTTGTTTTTCTAACCAAATGTCTGTTCATATTGACCTGACCTTAAAAATTAATTTGTAGAAGATGCAACATGTCATGTCTTTTACAGCCACTAAAGTTTTAAAAATATATTGTGGTTGTGTTAACTGAAAATTCCATTCCAAATTCTTTGAAAATTTAATTTTTTTTAATTATAACAGCTTTTAAATTTTTTCCAATGTTGCTTCAATTCTTAAAATCTGTCTGCATCAAAACAAATGTAAAAAAAAAAATCATTAAATATTTGATTAAACTTGGTAAACTTTGACACAAGACAGCAATAAATAGATTTAACAGATAGATAATGTATAACCAATCAGAATCAATGACTGACTAATTCCACTCCTCTCTCTCTCACCCATAAACACACCCACAATAGATTGTTTTTGGGAGTTTTTTTTTGGTTTTTTTCAGCAGCATATAGATTATCAATGCAAATATTTTACTTTGTGTTGCTAAGTTTTCAAGTTCATGTTGCAAATAAAAATTGAATTTCTAGACAGAAGCATTTTTGCTTTCTGCTATTTCTTATGTTAGATGGAAAATGGAATGTTTTATAAGGGTTAGGGTTTCAAACAAGAATAAATGTTGTAGCATACGTACGGACGATAATGGGTGTGTCTCCAGTCACATAAATACAGTAGTAAATACTGTATATTGATCTGCAGTTGGAGATTCATTGTGGAATTCACTTGACTCACTTCTAGCAATTGACTACTACTTCTACACACCACTGGTGAATCTTATATGTGTTGTTCTTGTCCTAATTATTATCATTCATTACCAATCTTTGTTTGATTATTCTATTTGGTAACCTTCTCTAGGTTACAACAATAACACATTTAAATATTTTGTTAAAGTCTATACCTAATAGATATATGTATATATAAATAAAAAGAAAGAACAGTAAGATATATAATCCAGTGTTCTTATAGATATTTTTATTTTTACAAAATAGTGCTCAATGTAAATTTACAGAGCATTAATATTATAAATTGATTTAAAATGTTTTTTCCTCTGTGTAGCGGAAAAACCATATTTTAAATCAATTAATTTATAATACCTAATAGATATCTATATTTCAGAATTTGTTTAATATGATCATATTATGATAGGTACAAATCAAAATAAATTGAAATATATACATTTTGTTAGTCTTTGTCTAATATTTTTATTCTTCATAGTTTGTTTAATATGATTACAATAATATTATATGTACAAATCAAATATTTATATTTTGTCAAAATCTATAATAAAAATGATTTTCTTAGTTTCCATTAAAAACTTTTCTTTGGCCTTTGTGTTGCAATTTGTCTTTCGACATTTTTCACTCTTCAAAACTATTACATCTTGTTCTATCATTTGGTTCATTAACGTTTTTATCTAATATCTACCACTTTCTTTATTACTCAGTTGGGAAATGTTACCATTTCTCTTGGAGATTCCAAATCAAATTCTACAGCCAGCCTGTCAACATCTACTGCAGGAAAATCAGACAAAGTCCAAATTGAACAATTGAATAAAGAGCGCAAGGAACAATACAAGAAAATGAAAAAGAAGAAGAAGAAAGCTAGTAAGTAATTAAAAATTAAATTTTGCTCATCTACGTCTTGATAAGGAAGGAAGGGAAAGACGTGCATGTAGCACAACAGTTATTAGCATGGAAAGTGGAGCCAATAAACAGGGTTCAAATCCCAGCCTAATCTTCTGTGTTTAATTTTTGCACAAATGCTCCAGGGAAATACATGAACTCAATTTTTTCTCGTTTCGTGTCCAGGTTAAGTAGTGTAGACTGGACTCTCTAGCTTTGATTGTCAAAGAGGAGGACCAATATGAATTCCAAACTGTAGTGAAAACAATGGGGAGACTTCTTTCCAAAGAAGCCATGGCAATTCACAGATAATAAAGAAATGGAATCTGTGGAGAGCTATAATCACATAACATACTAAAGAAACATGACAGTTTAAAATCTTTATCACTACAATGTACAGGTCTTAAGAACATCGCCATAGAATGGTGGTTAATATGCTACCTACATTGAATCTTGGTGGTTTTTATCAGTTCTTGTACTTGCACGCACGCACACATACCTGATATGTTTTGTTGTTTTTGTTTAGCAACATATCAACCTCTCTTGGTTATTTAATGCCAGGATCTGAATATATTGTATTCATCATTATTTTTATTTTTTATTTTATATTTTTTTTTTTTTTTTTTTTTTTTTTTGAGATAATAATGGTTTAGTGATACAAGACTTACTAATTAACCCATAGCTGGAGGGAGAAGTGGTGGAGTCATACCTTTCTCAAGGGTATTTGCACATCAAGTGAATATAATGAACCCAATTGGAATTTGAAGTCTGCTCTTTAATTACATTGCACTTTCTCAGACTAATGTTTTCTGCTTATATGAAGTGGAAAGAGAATATTGAATCAATTGATAGTTCGACTGCTGGGCAAGTTGGTTCACTGTGTTGTGCTACACAATTTTTTTGACAGAATCTATCTTGTAAGTCTATTGTTCATCCATGCATTGAATATTGCTGTCAGATTTGGTTTGGTGTATCAGCTATATGTTTATTGATACTTGATAAAATCGAAAGAATTTGCTATGTTATTGGTCATGACCTGGTATTTTGGCTTCATTCACTTTTCTCATCACCATAATGTAGCTTCTCTGTACCTTTTCTATAAATACTTTCATGATAATTATTCTGATGAACTTTCCTTTAAAGTGCCTAGACTTTATGAATTTAAGCACAGTACTGGATTGGTAGTTAGGTCTCATTATTTTACAGTTGAAATGGCTAGATGCAACCATAAGTTCTATGCTAACAGTTTCTTTTGTATTTCTCACTTGTGGTTTCTTGCTTTCCAGTCAATTTTGTCATTGTGTTTAAATTTTTTTGAAGATCAGTCATTATCTTTTGTCTTAATTCCTGTTCTTTTATTGTTCGCTCTCTTTAATAATGTTCGTCTTTTTCTTATATTCTTTCATAATGTTCATCTTTTTCTTATATTCTTTCATACTCAGTGTCTTAGTGGCTTTATTGTCATGGTTGGTGTAAAATGATTAAAAACATTGGTAAAGTCTTCTACTCTTATGAAGACTGAAAGCATTCAGAAGACTGATAATCTAAGAAATCTTAAAAAAATAATCCTAAAGTGTTTTTGTTGGGTTTCAACTTGCATAAATGGAAAATTGTTGGCAAAAAAACACCTAAATTTAAAATATATATGTGTACACACACACAAAATCAACACTGCATGGTGACTGTCTGTTTCATACCTCCAAGATATGTGGATTAATGTATTTTATTTTTTTTATTTTTACAGATGTCTTGGCAGAAGAATTAGCTGATGATGTAATTATTTCCATGAATATGAATAAGGATTCTGATGAAGAAAAGAATTCTGGATCTGATTATGATGTTGATGCTTATTTCAATTGAAATTCTTTGTTGGAACCAAAAGGGGAAAAAAAAAACATCTGTAAATAGAGTGGATGAAAATAAAGTTTTTTTTTGATTCTTGGGGAAAAGATTCTGTTGTGTGATCAGTTCTGTCGACTTACTTGGTTTATTCTAATTAAAAAAAAAAAAAAATAAACAGCTGACTGATTCACTGGAAATACTGGAACATTTTTTTTTTTTTTTTTCACAATCATGAGATCCATAACCTATTATGGGTCATAGAAGTGGCATATGTACTGTAGCTGCAGTACATATGGTGCCTGGGTAAAGTAACCTGACAAAGCCCAACCCTCTCCAGACTAGTTTTGAATTCAAAGTTCATCCTTCTCTTAGACCAGTTGCCATCCAAGGCTATAGTACTCAGTCTGTTCTGTTATTTAACCATTGCTAGGGGAAGAAGAGATGGATTCATGCTTTCCCCACGAGTATTAGCAGGTAAGTGGATGTAATGAGCTTGACTGAAATTCAAACTCGACTCTCAGATTTCCCAATCCAAACAAATATCCATCGTTCCACCATGTCCCCCCCCCCAAATCATTTCACCCCAAGCAAAAACAATCAAAAGAAAAATCTAATTCAGTCACAAAATGTCATAATCGGATGGAATTGATTTGACGAATTGTTTTTATTACGCAAATTATAAATGAATATTCTGGTGAAAAATACGTGATTAGTAGCTGTACGAGTGTTAATAGAAATAACCCTGAAAACACTGTGACTATAACTTTTGGTTCCTAATGAAAGTTGAGTTTTAACTAACAACAAAAATAGTTTCTCTGGTCCTGTTATTGATTCTTTCCTGGGTTTGTGAATTGTCCTGCAATTTGTATTGGGCAAGGTTGTTGTTGGTCACTATGTTGTAGCAGTCATCGTCACAACTTGTTGCTGATGACTTTCAAAAGGAATAAATTTCAACACGTAGAGGAATTTTACATAGCATAACAATTTAAGAAGAGATAAAATGCACTTGTGCATAGACAGCTAAAAAGAGAAGACAAACCTTTTATAGTTTTTCCTTGTAGAAAATGTGTAAGTTATGCCATGTGGCTGTTTGAAATTGGAAAGATGGCCTGCCAGGGGAAAATATCTCCTCCAATGGAGACACATCCTGTTTTGGCTACTATATTCCAGAGCAAAAGAGAAGAAGAGTGAGTCCTTTAGTTTTATACCACTGATTGCCACAGCATCTTAGGAGGTTGCTTCCTACAAAGTCAAGTATATTCATGTGAATCCTACTCGGATAGGACTGATTTTCTGAAATGTTCATCATGAATTTGAAAAAAATGCCTTAAAAAGTTTGACATTCGTACCATAAGTAGCAACATATTACTTTTGTTTTCATAATACAGGTTGAGAATCTTTTATCCAAAATTCTTGGGACCAGAAGTGCTTTGAATTTTGAAATACAGACTATTTAATTTGTATATAGCATCTATAAAATGGGACAGCTTGAAAAGACAACCCAACTATTTACCTTTCATAACACACCTCATACCCTGAAAGTGGTTTTATATAAAATTTAATAAATTTTGTGTACATGCAGATAGAGGCAATAACACTAGTCATGTCATTACATGACTAGCGTTATTGCCTTTCTATACACGGATTTTTAAGTAGTGAAATTAAGATTTCATATAAAAAATAATGTTTTTTACTTTCTGTATGTGTGCAAAAAAAAAACATGATTACTAGTCACAAAAATATATAAATGCAGGACATTTTGAATAATATCTTTACTGAGTATGAAACATCTGGCAAGTAATACACAAATGAAGATGTTACTGTGACAATCACTAACAAAAAACAAGTGCCAACATAGCTGGTCTAATGAAGGCCAGGGCGCATAACAACCAAAATGCATTAACAACAAAGATGAGGACAATAGCCCATATGTAAATAACATAAGAAAAGATAACACTTCATTTCAGAAATTATTGAATTATGTAATGTTATTGAATCTTTGATATATATATATATATCATTACTGTTTATTTCACTTCAGATTTTGTCAATCACCATTGGCCAGTAGGTGTATAGCTTTGGGGCCTTCTTTTGCTTGGACCTATATTCTTGAATGTTGTATGAGCCTGTTCTTCCCTTTGGGATGGGGTTATATATCTGCCTATGCATGCACATTCTAAGCACAATTGGGTTGACCAGGTGTTTGCCTGTCAGGGTTAGCCAATGACTTCCTGTGGTATGTATATCTGCACTTGGTAGCCAGAAGGTTATCTCCTGCTGATTCACCTGACTTCTTCAAAGGACATTGTGTGCAAACGTATATACCATGAATAATAATGTGTTTATATAAGACTATCAATAAAATTTCAGCCAAGGTGTGTTGAAAAATTGAGTTAATAAACAAGATATTTTCTGGTTCTGCTAATTCAATCAAAGTATGAGATTCAAAAATGCTTTTGGAATTCAACTAGGGACAATGGAATAACCTCTTAATTGCTGCTGTTCTCAGCACCTATTTGTGTCCCGGCTATGGGCAAATGGTGAATGCCCAAACAAAAACAAAACACTATGAAAGCATATCCAGAGATGTATATGCAATGTGGTTGATCCTGGTCTGGCATCAGGAAAACCACTTCTTTAGCCAAACATGCTTCTACCAGTTTGGAAATGGAACCAACCTGACAGGGAAAGTTGAATAAACCTATTAATGAAAGCACCTTTTTTGTCTTGTTGAGACTTGTTGAAATTATATAAAAGAAAATAAAAACTTTTTTTAATCATTTCACCCCATGCAAAGCAATAAAGCCACTAATATGCATGGGGTTACTGAGTGTAAAGAATATAAGAAGAAAAATACTATTAAAGAGAGAACAATAAAAGAACAGGAATTAAGAAGACAGGATGATTGACATTGCATTTAAATTTCTGAAGATCAAAGTTGACTAAGAGAAGGAAAATTCAGAATTCAACAACCAGTTGGGCAGAGGGGCTAGAAACTACATTCCATAAAGACCTATATGATATAGAAACCATATGAGTAACACCTTGTATATTGAGTCTATGACTTTATGCTCCACAGAGGTTGTGATGCACTGTATTACACAGACATTTGGAGTCAGTCAAGTGATATGTCAATTGAACATTTATTAATAGACTCTCTCTCTCTCTCTCTCTCTTTTTTTTTTATATATATATATATTTTTTTTTTTTTTTTGTTTCCAAAAAAAAAAAAAATTTTGCTTGAAGATTGAACAGAACTTACTTTAATTCAATTTAATTCAAATAATTATATTGAAGTTTTCGGCTCTTGTTTTGAAACATGAGACCTCTTATGTCATGAAGTTGGAATCATATTTTTAAATAAATAATTATATTTATGCTCTACTTTTATATCGAGCACTATTTTTAAAAAATAATAACAAAAATACTAAAGAACTTTGGATTATTTACCTAACCAGTTCTTTCCTATTTTCTATATATTTTCACACATATATATATATATATATATATATATATATATATATTTATGTGTGCGGTATTTAGTAGCAAGTGCTCAATATATGTGATAGAGCTAACATATACAGTTGCATAGAGAATTGTGACCTTAGGTTTGTCTGAAGATCACAATATTTATATATATATATTGTCATCTACAAACAGACTGTTTCACTATGTCACAGCTCATCAGTATGGCTAGACATCCGATTGCCTCAAGCCATGATTGAAACCTGACTGATTTGGCATCAGTTGCAGATTTTTCCCCTAAGCTATCAGCTCCCTGCAGAGAGGAAGCTGAATTTTTATGTATCTATTTTTGAATAAACACACCAGTGCTCAATTCATAGAAGAGCTTTTGTATCAGCAGAAGCAGTCACTGTTTACTGATTCACGCTTTCTCTCTAAAATAGTTGACTGAATTTTATTTTTCCGGGGGCATATATATATATATATATATATATATATATATATATATATATATATAAAGTATATTTAGGCAGCAGTATTCATCCAAACAAGTTTTGTTCAATTTATCTGACATGGTCTGCCTGTTTAATTTTTTATTGTATTTTTCAAATAAGGTGTTGAGTATTGTATTACCAAAATACACTGCAGTACTCAGTGCAAGGAAAACTTTGAAATCTTAGAAGCTATTATTATTCAAAATAAACAGCCTACATTAAATAAAATATCATTCATCACAGGAGACGGTTCATATGATATTTTGAATGTGCACTTATATTAATATAAAAAATTAAAAATAAATAAAAACATTTCATTCATTTTGTGCAGCCTTGTTCCCAATAACCGTTACACATCATTTTATTGTTGACTATTTCAAACTTCCAACTTTCTAAAGAATACCATTGTGTAGACAAACCAATTCTGCCTTCCACACAGACACCACATTAGTTCTTGAAAATGACTGAGATGGTCAAAAGTACTTGAACAAAACAATAACAATATGAACTTCAGACATTTTATCCACAACTGAGGTTCTCTTTATCATCAGATAAAGAAGTCCTTTTACTCATCAGACCATGAGATGCTCTTTATCATCGAACCATGAGACTCTAAATCACTCTTTATAATCAGACCATGTGGGACTCTTTATCATCTGACCCTGATGATCACTTAGTGTGAATGCCAATCAATATATAGCGCTGATTTTTGTCCATGTTGGTTTTATCTATAGATGCCTTATCCCTAATATTAAAATATATAGGACATTTTAAATATAGTTATATGCTTACTATTTTATCTTGCATTTTATCATACAGGTTTGGACTGACCTTACAAATTCCCCATGCTGAGTGACTTCCATTTCCATGGAAACATAAAATAGTTTAACTTTACTTCTATTTATGCATTTTTAGAGGCACCCAGAGACTTTCTGAAATTGATTTGGATCCTTTCATTAGCATAAAATAGTTATAAATAATTTTTTAAATTGGCTCACTAGAATTTATTATTGTTTTTAATTTAAATTTGAATCACTTTTTGTGCCAATTCTTGAGCCT